AACGAAGGCCTTACCTGCCCCCCAAAAAGAGCTCGCAATATGTCCCAGGCACCTTTTCACAGCGCGGGTTAACATGAAACATGGGCCCCCAAAAACGGCTTCGCGTTTCCCTTTCATCTCGCCCCAGAATGGTTCCAAGTCAAACATGCGCATCCTAAAAGATGATGGTTGTTTGCGTTCCTTGGCAGTCTGCAGGAGTGTGGTACCCTCCGCTTGGACCTTTCGCCTTTGGAAGCTAAGGGACCATGAAGGTACTCTTTCGTGGTTTATATACTATAACTCGAGGGTATGAGAGGGAATGCTTTGTATATATATATATATTATTATTATTATTATTATGTTTCTTTTTTTGTTTTGTTCTGGAGGACCCTTTTGGGCTGTGTTGAGCCAAACGGCAACCAGCCTCGAGTTCCAAATCCGATTTGTAAAGCCCCATGCGGCCTTTCGCTTGGCCGTGGCTTGCGCGCGCACACACACACACGCACATTCGCACTACAGCAGTCTTCTAACGGCCCAACATTTTTGGCATCCAGATGCTTTCCAGTATCCCCAACCTGCATGTCATATTATGATTTTCATTTTTTCTCGGCCATGAGCACTCGCAACCTCGTATCAATCAAACCCAAATGATCGGGGTCCCTCTTCATTCTTTCGAGGCGCCCAGAAATCAATCGAACACATTCACGCTAGGATTCATCCAGCTCACTCTCTTTGGGTGCTCACAAGACAGGTTCTCCTTAGAAAACGGAAGGGAACAAACCTGCACCCGCAATCATGTTTGTTGGACGGGAGGCATTGCTACACGGGTATGTGTTTTGTTGAGGGTATATGGGTTTGTCTTTTTTTGGTGTGTTGAGTTGCTTCAAAAGGCAGAAGGTGGGACCTTCCCGAATCATACCCCCGAATCATACCCCCGAATCATACCCCGAATCATACCCCCGAATCATACCCCTTTAAAACGTATGCTGCAAGATGCTACTGCTCTTCTACCACCAGCGCTACCCAATACTACCACTGCCACTGCCACTACTACTACTACTACTACTACTACTACTACTACTACTACTACTACCAATACTACTACTACTACTACTACTACTACTACTACTACTACTACTACTACTACTACTACTACAATTACTGCTACTACTGCTACTACCACTACTACTACTACTACTATTACTACTACTACTACTACTACTACTACTACTACTACTGCTACTACCGCGACTACGAGTAATACAACTACCACCGCTACTACCGCTGCTACTACTACTCTACTGCTTCTACTTCTGCTTCTGCTACCCTTACTACTAACTACTACTACTCCAATTACTAATTACTACTACTACTGCTACTACCACTACTACTACTACTACTACTACTACTACTACTACTCCAAGTACTACTACTACTTTTACCACGACTACTACTACTACTACTACTACTACTACTATTACTAATATTACTGCTACTACCGCGACTACGAGTGTTACTACCACTACCACCGCCACTACCGCTGCTACTGCTACTCTACTGCTTCTACTTCTGCTTCTGCTACCCTTACTACTAACTACTACGACTACAACCTTGACTTCTACTACTACTATTACTACTACGACTACAACCTTGACTACTACTACTATTGCTACTACTTCTACTACTACTACTACTACTATTCCTGCTTCTGCTGCTGCTACTACTCACTACTACCACATACATCATTCTGAGTCTGTAATCAGTGCCGGTTTGCACCTAGCCGAATCATACCCGCGAATCATACCCGAATCATACCCGGACAATGAGCTTCCCCTCCCTAGGCTAGTGCTAAGTCTTTTTCACAGCGTCCGCACCACTACAGCCGCTGCTGCTTATGCTACAGCTGCTACCACTACTTCTGCAACTGCTACTACTACTACTACTACCACTACTACTGCTACTACTACTACTACTACCACAGCTACTACGAGTTTGTAATCAGTGCCGTTTTGCTCCTAGCCGAATCATACCCGCGAATCATACCCGAATCATACCCGCGCAATGAACTTGCCTTGCCAAGGCCAGCGCCAAGTCTTTTCAAAGCTTCCGCGCCACTACAGTCGCTGCTTCTACTGTTACTACTACTACTACTACTACTACTACTACTACGACTACTAGTGCTACTACTACTACTACTACTACTGCTGCTGCTACTACTATTTACTACTACTCCTACTACTGCTACAACTACAACAACAACAACTACTACTACTACTACTACTACTATTGTTACTACTACAATATTACTACTAGTACTACTACTTCGGCGACTACTGCCACTACTACTACTGCTGCTGCTGCTGCTTCCGCGAATCATACCCGCGAATCATACCTGCGAATCATACCCCGTACTCAAACCTTCCTGCCCGGCCACCCTAAAAAAATACAAACCCATATGTTCCTTTCGAAGCTGGCTTCTTGACTTAAAGGGGAACGAAGAGGGGAACAAATTACCATTTTGCGGGGCGGGGGGGCAATATTCTCGAGACACACGCACACCATTCTGAGTTGACTGTTCTATGTGCCAGGCGGCGACATGCGGCGTTCTCAGTGTTTGTTTTCACGTTTGGTGCCCACCCTGAACGTCCCCTGGGTGTCTTGACGGTCCGGGATTGTACCCCCAATACACACCCCTTGATGCCTTTCGGCAATGTATCAACACGGGGCCATTGGCAACTTTGCAAATTCCTGCCTTCGACAATTCCGTAATGGCGGCTTATTTGGACCCCCCTTCATGAATTACAAGGGATAAACAATTGCACAATATACTCTCATGGTGACAATATGGTTTAAGGTGCCCCCCTCCTCCCAGCACCCCCCAACTACTTGTTTGACAGCACTTGGGGTTTTGGACACGGAAGTCGTTGGGGGTGCTGTTCTTTTTTTGCTTTTCGGGCACTCGCGCAGGGGACCACGCTGCTTGGAGCCGAGCCTTGGCAGTTCGGGGATGGATTTGGCGGTTGACGTGGCTGTTGCTTCGCGACCGGAACTCATGCAGCTTCCTGTCTTGCTTCGGGTGGGTGAAGTAGACATCATTGTGAATATGGGTCGAAACTCACTGGGCAGACCCAGACAGATTGCGGAGAAGCCACACCATTGCAGCTCTGATTTTGCCTTTGGGCAGATGGCATGATGCTTTGGACTGGTACAGGTTGGTCACTGAGAGTGTCCAGAGTCACAGATCACAGCAAATTGTCTCACACAGTCATGGAAGCTTCTGAACAAACGATCCCAATAGATGCAAAATGGGGGCCCATGGTCTTTTTCGTGATTTCCAGGGGGTTGCTCAAACGTCGGGATCCGGGGGGACGGTTGTTCCCTTTTCGGAACAAACTGGGGGTTGGAGGGATTCGTCAGCCACGGCCATTTGCAGCCGGGCTTGAGGTGGTGTTCAGCTACAGCACTGTGCAAGACCCAGCTCAGGCGAGGCCACGTGCCGTCAGAGCAACTGCACGAATGAATTTCAGGTTTGAACATCCCAAGAGAAGAGGCCTTTCGTTTCTAAATTGTTTTCTGAGCTTGGAACAAGCCAAGGAAGAGTGGAACGATTGAGACAGGCTCACAGTTGGATTCAAAGAATGGCACGGGGCCCCCATTGGTTTGAACAGCCTCAAAGCTGTGTCTTGGGGTTCATTTCTCGCATCAGCCTGCATGGTACTTGTAGCAATCCAACGTGGGCTTGCTCATGCTGAGTCGTGCTTTGGGGTCTAACATTCGACTCACTGGCAACACTGCTTGGTCAACATGCATACTTCATCCATGTTGAATATCTGTTGGTTCAACGGGAAACAAGGTTGTGGGGAAGATGCCAGATGTTGCTCCTTGCCAGGTTTTCCGTGGTACAAGTGTGCGGGATGTGCAGCAAGAGACGGCGCAATCGACGGACGCGTCATGCGATCCGGACCTACAAGAGCGCCTGTCAACTGCTTAGAACCCGAGTGCTTGAGACAAACATGGGGCCAGGGGGCAGGCGAATCTGCAAACTGTTCCGCAAATGATTCTCTGAAGTTTGCCAGTTCTGCAAAGTGAGGCCTTCAAGAGTGATAACTTGCAAGGATTACATACCGAGTGTATCCAACACATGACCTACATGTTTGTCTCAGAAGCGCAACCACGGCCCTGGTTGTGAGTTGCAGGCTCTTTCCCTACAAATCGCCAAAAGGTTGAGCCACATGCTTTCCCATGCAATCATTGTAGGAATATATATATATATATCATATGATATGTATACCAGCATTTTGACCCATATCAGGTGGGTTGGGTTTTGGCGACGGAGGCCCTGGCAGTATTGCACGTGGATCCACAATGTAGCCGATTGCGCAGCCTGTTTGAGCTTGTCCAAAAGTTGTAAGCCTTATTTTGTGCAAATGCGTTGCCCACTTTCCTGAGGCACTATGCATAATCGGAGGGTTCTCAAAATGGCAGACCCTTTGCGGGTGGTTTCCCGTTTTGGACTTTGCCTATTTTGAGAAGGACCCATATTGCGATTGTATACGATTGTGGTGCTTGCTTAGCCTGCCTGACTTTGCACCCGATGGCTGCTGTGCGGCAATCCCAAAATGGGAATTGCGCCTTTGAAGAAGTGTTAGCTGTTTCGAACAAGGCCAAGCTGCTGTGTTCGAATATCGCAGGTAGATCTTTCCTGGAGGCAGTGAGCCTTGGGAAACGAGCTGCAATCTTTGGGTTCCCTGTCCTGTCAGTCGGACACCCGAGATCAAAGAGGCGAGCGACAAAGATGGCCCGGGACATTCGAACCTGGCCGGGTCACGATTCATACCATGCAAAATGGGTTTGACATGTAAGAGGTGTAAGAGTTGGTTGCAAGCAGCACACGGACAGCATGTCTCGTGTACTTCAGACAGTCTGAAACCTGCATGACAGCTTGGCAGTCCCAAGCACTCTTTGGGAACAAGCAACTAGCACGTAGACGTAGCACGGCATAGTTTGAGTCTTGATCACAGGTGGAAAAGGAGGCCAGGGGCGATCAACTGGAGCCTGGAGGAAGGCTGCTAGGTCTGGGATCGCCATCGGGGATCAAGGGCCGCACAGAGGAGGTCAGCCGGCATTCGCGTGTGGTGTCTATTGGATTTGACTTGTTAGAGTTAAACATGGAGGTGCACAGACTCCTTCTGGAAGACGGTTTGGGTTTGGAGAGGGAGGATTCCTGCGCACCAAGCCACGTATTGGCGGTTCAGCCGCCGGCTTCGCGACGAGGTGGCGCTGCCTGGAGCATCACCTTGGCCGCACGGAGTCGCAGCTGTCGGTTTCGGATCTGCCATATGCCATGCTGGAGAATACGTTCCAAAGTCCGGGACCACTCAAATGACGATGTTCATCTGATTTCCCCTTCCTTACAAAGGCTACCCTCAAGCAGAGATGCCCATACCGATGCCCAAAGCGACGCCCAGTTGTGTGGCACTGGGTTGTCCATGTTCTCGCGTTGTTTCACGGACAACTCTGTGTTCCATAGCCTTTTATTACCAAAGCAAGAGTCCAGAGTTTTCTGGCCAGACAGCTAAGACCCTTGTCGACTGGAATGAAATTCATGGACTAGTCTTAAGCATTGTTTTAGAATCCACCGCGAGCCTCCACCCAATGTTGCGTCCACGCTATGCTTGAGTACTGTTGCAGATGGAGCAATAGCATGAGCACTCGTGGTTTGGCAGTCAGTGCACAGTTGCATGGGCAATCAACGAAGCTCTCTCTCTCTCACACACGCAATTGATGCAGTTTGTAGGTGCATGTAGGTATATAATACTCGCCGACGCTTGACCATTGGAGGGTCAATGTGGATGGCGACTTTTGTTCCACTGGGGCCGCATGGCAGCCGCGATGTGTGTTGTGATTGGGCATCACTCGTCACCCAATGCATCGAACAAACAAAATAAAAGAAGTTGGATTTGGACCCCCTTTAAACACCAACAAAGACATGTTACACGTCAAGTTGACGGAAGATTGACCAATACACAATAGACCACATCATGCATGTGTTCGACTAAAGGCAGGTAGGTTGCCCATGGTGTTGCACCAGAATCTGCACATGTTTTGTGGGCAACAGCTCGTGTTGAGTAGGCGACCATTGCTTGTTTTTTTTTGGCTCCCGAGGCCGCCTCCACAGAAGCTGCCGGGACGCGCGCGGACCTCAACGAGTCCCCGAAAGCGGCTAGGACATGGATTGGGAAGCCAAAGGAAAAAAGGTCCGTTTGGGTGGTCCAAGCAGACCAAGCCTTTTTTGGAGACAACCCCAGTTTTAGGGGTCGGACCAGCCTCAAAATGGTGGAAGGACAAAGGTGACTATATGCAAATGGGCTCCAGCAAAGGGCCCGTTGCCACTGGCAGTTCATGGCCAACGTGCGGCCCTCCGACTGGTTTTCCCAGTTCAGTTGCACCCTCATCGATCCAACAGGTTTTTTGCCTGAAAAGTCGGCAACTCACTCCAAGTGCCTGAAGTCAACATCCGCTGGCGGAATTGTTAAGCCATTGATATGGGCGTGGGTCAAAATTAAACCAGGGGACAGGTTTTAGTCATTGGTTCCATGTACCAGGGTTCCATTTTGGGTAGCTATTTTTGACCCACAGCCATTGCCATTGCCTGTCCTCCGAGTCCCCGATGCCCCGATGTCAGTACCCCCAGCTTTGGCCCCGAGGCGCGAGAGGTCGCGCTGGAAGGAGACGAGGCGAATGAGGCGAATGAGGCGAAGCGGAGAGATGGGTTTCAGGATATGAGGGGTTTTAGGATATATTTTTTTTATTTTTTTTTTGAGCGTCCCTCCCCAGAAATGGCTGCTTGACGTTTGTTGAAATTGAAATGCATCCTGACGCATGTTTTACCCTCGCACAGAAACCTTGGGACTGGGACGATATCTTGACGACTCTCATACGTCTCATACGTACCTTCCACCAACAAACTATGGAAATGATCGAAAGACAGGGTTCCCCATTTTACACCCATCCTTCGGTTCAGCATCAATTTCGCCTCAATTTTCTGAAGAGAAGTGTCCCTGAACGGGGAGGGCACGACTACATTACATATTTGATGGGAGATTTCTGCTTCATATTTAAGAGATTCCTGACTATGACCCGCGTGCAGTGTCTTCACCCCGGCATGCATCGGAACCGAAGATGGGGGTCCTGTTTGAGGCGAGGGAAAAGAGGACCACGTCGACAGCCACAACATGCTAGTGTTCGAGTCAAACATGGAGTGCGAGATTGTGCCATGTTTCCGACAATCATGGAAACTGACGGAAGGGGTTTGGAAGAGGAGAAGGCGCCCTTTCTAGTGCCAGGCGCAAAAAAGTGTTGCTTCTAATACCTGAAGGTGTCTGGGATTTGGCCTCAGACATGTCAGCTGTTGCAAACTCAGAGCCATATCCTTCACTGGGATTCGGATGTGATCCGCTGGTTCGGTACAACCGAATCAATCGAGTCCTGATGTTTGGCGCGTGAAAGGCCAGCGAGCCCGAGGGGTCGGCGTCCGGCGAGGATGGCCGATGTTTTTCGTACGGCTGTTCTTGGGTGGCTTGTATGTTGCCTTTTGGTTTGGTTTGTGTTCCAGTTGTGTGATGAGTCATGAGCTGATTGAAACTCTCGGTAGTTTCTTCTTTGGGGTTCTTCTGTTGCCAGCAACCATGGAAGTGGACGAGGTCCTTTTCAAGGGGATGGTACTCTTGTAAAATCCTCCTGTCTCATTGGAAAGAGGGTATTCTTCTGTTTGCTTCTGTGTGGGGTTGTGCTGGTTTCTTCTGACAAATCCACGGAGATCTACATTTCGAGGCATACTCAAAATTTATGACTCTATGACGGAGCTTTGCATAAGAAGCAACCAGTGCTCAGCGTCAATTTGGGTGATTGCTGGTGACCTCGTAAGTCACAACCGTGCAATGCCTCAGCTCACGTTGTTTTTGCTGACCCACCCAGATCTTCCTTCGCAACATTCAAACTCAAGCCTGGTTCTTCTTGCTGCTTTTGCACCGCTTGCTTGCTGAGGGCATTCACCATGCGCAGGACTCCGACGTGTCGGCTCAAGCCAACTTGGAAAGGCGCAGTGCTTCAGTGGGGTTCAGGGATTCTTCGAGCTGCTGTCGGGGAATGATTTCTGGGCAAATCATAGCCTGCTCAAATGAGTCAAACGAGCTCCCATGATGAAGATCCTGTAACGGGGTATTTCCTGTTTGGTAATTAAAGTAGTCTGCCCAGATGAATTCGCGCGGTATTGCATGGAGTTGCCAAGCTAATAGTGTACTTGGACCCTCAAACAGTCCACCCCATAATTCAATATCCATGTTTGAAGGGCAGTGCGAGGTTCCATATAAAGCCACTTCTGCCAATTTGAAAGCGGCTGTCTGGTCAAACGTGAAGCCAACTGAGAGCTTCTATCGGGAGCAAGTCGTGAGACGCAAGCGAGATGTCAACCCGGGGGTTTGGGACCGACTCCATGGTCCATGGATTGTGGGACGTGTGTCTAGTGTTAACCTTCAACGGGGATTTAGGGCAACTTGGGAGTTTTGATGCAGGCACAGGAACGACATGGACGTGTTGCTGGCGCATAACTCCTCGCTTCTCGGACCAAGTTGGGTTGCCGTGGACCTGTGTTGGGCATGAGCCTCCACCAGTTGTCATTTGTGCACAATGCGGAATATAAGTCCCAGACCAAGATGAACCGAACCTAGCGCAATCATGTTCATAGTCCCCATGAGCCCGAAGCTTTCAGTGATTCAGGGCTACATCTCCAATGTGGGGGTTATTCTTGAGCACTCTATAGAATATTGGCCTAACAACCCTCCAAAGGGGTCAAAGTGGTGTACATTCCCTGCACGGTTGTGTGTGGGATCGATGGCAACCGCCCAGGGTGATGCGAACTTCCAGGCACGGTCTTGCGGATGCTGAGGCGGGCGAGAACCCCATCCAGTGAGCCTGTCCGGTAGGGCGTGTGTTGGAGGGTAACCTTTTCAGTTTGATTTGACGAGAATCTACTATAAGGATCACAATCTTTTTTTGGGCTTTTACATACCTTGTGGCCCCTGCCCAGTGCAAACAAAGTCAGCTTTTCTATTAAGTGGACCAGCCAAATGGACCAGAAGGAAAGTGCCGGTTTTTGACCTTGCCTAAGGGACCTCCATGTTGCTTTTCTGTCGCGTCTACTGATTGGCCACCGCTGCTTGCTTCTACCACGCCCTCCCGCCTGCCTGAACACATACTGACATACTGAAAGTTCAATCCTGCCCCTTGTCTTCGGAATTTGGTCTCTTTCACATGTGACCAGCCTCTCATGTGACATACCTAGTAGCTTCCAGTGCGGTCTGCAACAAGAGGATCAGCAGAGCAAAGATATGTTTTTCCAATGGCAACATCTGGGAGGAAAACGAGCTCACCATGATGTTGGTCCTTCACTCGCGGAACCCTTATTTCAGGTTAGGAACGCGTGCAACATTTGGAGACAGATGCGAAGCGATGCATCCATGAGTACATCGGTATCAAAGGAGTTCGAGAGGACCGAGGGTTTGCACATGTGATAGCCCTTGGAAGATGCTGGCACACACGCTTTTCGGCTCATTGCCAACAAAGCTTGCTATTTGCACCTGAAGGCAAAGCAAACGACAGCTTTCGTGGAGATCACAAAACAAATAGAAGCCTACATGCCCCAGAGGTGGAAATTATTCCATCAGGACAGCCTTTGAAGGTGCTGGTTGCGGAGAGATGCTTATTTTGCATGCAACGTGGCAGGAGCTTCCAGTGAGCGCGCACGAGCTCGCGCGGAAGCAGCGGTCAGAGGATGCCGAGGCGGGTCCGCGAATTTGGCACTGCTCAGTTGGTGGACCTTGTGTTTCAGCGGCCATGGACGGTGGACTGTGGACCCAGTGTTTCACCTTGTTTTTTGTGTGTTGGTGCCATGGCTCGCTAGAAGCCTCTAGCCTATGATGAGATCATCCTGAACATAGTGAAATAAAGGGCTGAATCATCACTGGTCTCTTGCATGGAAATGGCCCCAGCAAGAGAAAGCAAAACATGCAGCACATAGCCTGTGTGCCCAGGCTCAGCACAAGGAGTGTCACACAAAGGGGCTGATATGATGGTTAACATGTTCATGTTTAAAGCGAGCCCCTATCCAGCATCCAGTGGATGTAGTTAGTCTTGTCCTTGCGACTGGCTTCGTAGGGAAATCCTGCCACCTGGCCATTGGCGCCTGCTTGCATCTTCTTGAAGCCTGTTATAAAGCAAAGGTTGTGCTCGGTCGAGATCCCCTGGGTCTCCTTCCTTTGATTCTTCCAGGACTTGGCGCAAACTCTCTAGAGAGATCTCATTTCCTTCCTGTTGTCCTCATGTTCTGATTTCTTGCCCCCCTTCTTCCTCATCTGTTGAGTAGTGGCTGGTGCGGCTCATGTTTGCTTCCTTCCTTTTGGCTTTTCGGACTCGCAGTGTGGGCTCAAAGAGCCATCTTTGCGGATAGGTGTTTCCATCATCATTGTTTCGGCTGGTGCTTCTGAGATTCTGCCTTTGCGCTTCTGAATTTGTTGTGGTCGATGGTGGCGAACCCGTGTTGCTGTCGTCCTCTCCTTCGAACCTGTTTCAACATCTATTACATTGTTTATGGTTCAAGCTGTGCATGCTTGCAAGCGGGTCAGACGCTTCGGGCCCTCCAAGTGCTTCTGGTTTCAACTCACGAAGCGCTGGCAGCACTTCATGGGTGATCTTCAAAAGGGGCTTGCGCGAATGGATGCAAACGGTTGGTTCCGTGTTCGTCGGGGGATCGCAACATGCGGAATCCCCGAACACTGATTTGCAAATGACAAGGAATCCACGTTCATGCTGTAGCATGATATTTGCCTGTACAACATTTGTTCTCAAACGCACCCTTGCATAGCCTCGGCATAAGGATTCATATGATGTTCCTGCTGGCAGGATGTAGATCGCAAGCAGCCCGAGAGGCAGTTCCGAGCTCGGACGAGTCACACTTGAACCAGTGTGTTCCAGGCATCCCTCGGTTTCTCTACCTCTGAAAGCGGCAGTCAGAGGAAATACATCCGGTGGGATTTTGTTTCGACATAGCATGATTTCGTGCTGCCTCAAAAACTGTAATTAGGTGACAGTTTCATTGGAACCCACCAGCAGAAAGCTTTGCCGTTAACTTGGGACCTGCTGCAAAACTGCTGCAACAATGGCTGTGTTGCGCATGTCTTTCGCCAGCCATTTTGGAGTCTTGGAGGCCAGCCTTTTGGGGTTGGTGAAAAGGGGAACCAAAAGGAAACAACCCAGTTTGGGGGGTTCCACCATTCGGAGAAACACTCACACGAACAAATGCGCGAATCGGAGCTGAAGTGATTGCCTTGAGCCCTGTCTGAGATCGCTTCTGAACCGCTTGGTGCTGCCAACATGTCTTGAAGCATGTCGTGTGCGTCCTGCAGGAGGGACCCCCCCAAAACCAAGAAAGGTGGTCTCTTCTTTCGCTTGCCATCAGTCCCATAGGGTCGGCCAGCATGTCATCTACGGTTTCTTTCATGGATTGGGACACACTTACCTTTTGGCATGAGTCATGGGTAAGCCAAGGCCTTCCTCCCACTATGCCCGTAAGGTGTTCTGCTGTCCCTTGACTTGGTATTTCTTCACCTCGAACCTCATGCAAATCGGCGCCCAAACAACATCAGCAAACATGGGAGTGCCGTGGAAAAAACTACAGGACCCCCAAAGATTTCGAGTTTGTCCTTTGGCTCTCCCAATAACATCATCCCAGAAAGGATTCCCTTTTTAACACCAAGCGCGACAAACATCCGCCTGCTCTCTGCCAGTCGCACTGGCTGGGGAACAATACATCAAAGTATGTCGAAATGGAGGTTACTCACTCACATCCCTTTTGGGCGTCCCCAAGTTCAGATTTTTTCCCAATTCAGCTGCCACGCCAGTTTCGCTCCGGCAGCTCCGTGACGGAAGGCGGACGACATGTTTGGGCTCCAGCTTGCCAATCCCACTCTATGGAGTGGTTAGTTACCCACAGCTACCCTCCAAATGGGTCAACTGTTGGTGACATATTCAATATACAGTATAAATATCATTGTTATGTGTTTGTTATCATGATTATTATTATGTGTATAATAATAATAATTATTATTATTATCATCATTATTATTATTAGTATTATTATTATTATTATTATTATTATTATTATTATTATTATTATTATTATTATATTATTATTAGTATTATTATTATTATTATTATTATTATTATTATTATTATTATTATTATTATTATTATTATTATTCTTATTTAGTTTTGTCATTATAAGTATGACTATCATGTATGATTCTTATTATGTACAACTTGTGTTTTTCCTTACTATGATTATACTCTCCTCCTCCTCCTCATCATCATCATCATCATCATCATCATCATCATCATCATCATCATCATCATCATGTATATTGTTCTATATCACATGCATGGATTGTGCGGGCTTTGGCACTTTGCAGGCCGCAGGGAAAGCATCCTCAACCAGGAGTGGGCTTCGGGCGGTGCCTGGCCGGAGGTCTGGGAAAAGCTCATGTGTTTACATGTGCCAAGCCTCGGCCCCCTCTGTGGACAAAATCCGCGCCAGGCACCAGGTGGTTGATTCCACGTTTTCATCCATTCCTGGTGCGACGTGGATTTTACCCATCCGCATATTTTTGGTGAAAGCCCTAAGCTGTGAGAACTTACTTTGCCGGCCGGTACAGAAAGCCTGCGAAGATTAGACCTGGGTGTAAGGCTTCATAAGTGTTCCTTCTCAAAGTTATTTCCCGCAAACATCGGAGACTACAACTTTGTTACAAATAGCATAGAGAAAGTCGGAGTTTTCAATGTCATTGTTTGAGGGGGGAAACTACCACACCACACATCTGTTTGCGCGCCTGAAAGTTCAAATCACTCCCCGGTACTGAGTTTGCTCTCCTGGAATATAGAAAGCGCCCCCGGAATCATTCGCCCCACACACACATGTCCTTTTTTCAACGTATGACACATGGCTGTCAGGTACCCCGGAGACCAAACAACGGGGACTTCAGTTGCAGAGCCGTGAAGGGAGGAAGACAGCAGACTGTTTCTAGTCAAATCTCCAGGTTTCAGGTTTCTGGTGTGTGCGCAGTTGATCTGTTGCCAGTTTCAAGCCGCAGCTTACCCCGAATAAAGAAACACGCTTTTTGCGGACCTAAAACCCAGGGCAAAAAGCAGCCGGAAACGAGCCAAGATCAGGCAAACATGTGCAAACATTCGCACATCCTGGAAAGAACGGAATTCCGTTGTTTCCGGAGAATTGGGAATACACGCAATTCTTGACCAGTTTCGGATATTTTCGGATCATGCGTGAGATAATTGGAGGCTGATTATTTGAGTGTATTCCTGGTTGTTAGAAAGAGCTCCTTCAAGGTTTGCGCCTGAATATCTACAGCCGCTCCAGCTTTTAAGCTACTGCACCTCGCTTTCATCGTTCAGTCAAGAATCGCTGGAAACGCCCTCTTTTTCACAAAAGCACAGAGAGCGTAAATAAGTTGGATTTGGAAGGTCCAGGGAGAAAGAAAATTCCCAAGGGGAAGTCCAAGGGGAACAAAGCACCAGGCTGAGGGCAAAACACATCCAGGAAGAATGCAATCCGAGGGAAAGTCCCACAGAACAGCAAAGCAGAGGGAACGTGTCCAGAAAAAGGAACAAGGAAAGGCATCCAGGAAGCAAACACCAGAGAGCCTGATGTGGGTATGAAAATTCAAGAGCTGGGGTTACGCGGGTATTGGTCTTTGAAGGTGCCATTTTGATACCACTTTTTTGAGCCACATCCATATTTTGTTTTCTTCCCGGCAGGACATCAGCGGCCTGGAGGAGCCATGGCTCCGGCGGTGGTCCGAGATGTTGGAAGAGGAGGGCCTGCCCTGCACCAAGGCCGATCAGTCGGTTTCTCAACTCCAATCTCGTGAGGGGACCCGGGGTTCTGTTTGTTTATTACCCCAAGGTGGACTTCAATCCAGGGTTGGTTAAGACAACCCGGCTCTGTTCCTTCTTAAGGGAAGCCAAAAGGAGGTGGTTTCAGTAGATGTTAAAACCAAGGTGCTAAGACAGGGGGTTGGCCCAACTCCGGTTTCTTCGACGAATCTCCCGGACCAGCCCCAAGGTGGACGTCACGGGCGTGGCTGCGTTCCAAACCGAAAAGGGAGCCAAAGGGTTTGAGTCGGTGAACAGCGAAGCCTGGATGGGCCAGTTCGGGTCAAGGACAACCATGTTCCAATTATCGCGGAAGTGGACCGTAGACTGTCCAGTTTTATGATTGTTGGAAGTCGATATCTTAGATTCTAGGGAAAGCTTTGCAAGGCCTTCCAACCGGATGTTGTTTGCCGCAGCCAGGAAACCAGTGAGTGGGCGTGTTTCCCAGAAGTTTCCAGCCATCAGGGAGCTCCTTTTGGGCAAGCTCCCAATTCCACTTTAGTTAGATACTCTCCCACCCCCGCCCCCCCCCCGAACATGGTATGGTGTCTCCTTGGTTTGTTTTCAATCAACCCAAAACAGGGTCCCCTCAAAGAGGAAGCCGTTGCCTTCGCAGGTTGCCACCAATGGGAAGCCGTACGAGCGCCGGATACATGTGGATAGCAGGCTGGATCGGTGAAGCTGCTTGTCAAGGGAGTCGAATGCTGGAACCTTTGGTAGCCTACAGCAGAATGGCACTGCAGCTGAGTGATTTTGGGGGGCTTGTGTGACAATTACGAATTTCCCAAAATATGTGGTTCCCAAATCCGAGTTGGCACGCTGTTTGGGTGTGTGTCAAAATAGGTGCTCCCCGAAACGGCGTTTGTTTCGTCTGGCATTCCTTACCTTACCCTCACCACTGCGCAGACTTGTTTGTCTCTCACAGGAACATGATGGTCGAAGTCCATCAAGGCGTGGGACCTTCGGCTTTAGCGCGGATCGCATAAACTCATTTGCATGGAGACTTGCAGCAAGGCCGTGCGTGTTCCCTCTTGGTATTGTCACAGAGTGAATGTCATATATAAATGTGATATTTTTAAGGTTGACATGTGAAACATGTTATGTTTGTTGGACCCCGACGATCAGCTTCACCGCAGTGACTGTGTTGACTTCATTATCTTATTTTTCCCAGTGTTCCCCAAGAGAGCATGCCTGGCGCAAGCAGGGACAAACACCGTCCCCCACTTTTTCATCCTGGCTTGCTCGCTTCAGACGAATAGGGTTTCCACTACCCCAAACCACTACTCCCAAGGGACACATGGGGTATACAACCACTATATAATGAGCATAGTCTCCGTTTCGCTTGGGATGTTGATGGACGAACTCCCCTTCGCACGAGTTGATACTGTAGGCGGTTTGCCCAATTCATAGGGTTTCATGCAAAGACTCCGAGATGGTAGCCGGAATTTTCGTCCAGCCGGCAGTGAAACACCTCCCAGGGCGGAATGGCACAGTCGGCATCTCCCTGGATGACTTGGTCGACCTTTGCAAGGCACCGGTACACTCGCCGTTCCCTCCACCCAGTACTTGTTGCCATGTGAAGCGGTGTTGCGGAGCCAAAGGGCTACGGGTTGTAGGTGTTGTTTTGGTTTCCCTTGAAAACTGCCCAACGGAGGTCCGTTTTTGCATTTTTAGGAACACGAGTTTGTTAATTGCCTTTCCAGCAAGAAGAGCCACTCTAGCCACCGGCTGGAAGTTTTGGCCAAAACTGCGCCGTGCAACGGGGGCCGGACGGGCAGGATCTCGAGAGCCGCGAGTTCAAAAAGTTCCGGCAAAGGCGTGGCGACTATCGGCATCCCAAGGCTTCCCAAAAAAAAGGTCCCGTGACTTCGGGGTCAATGGATCAATTGAGATGGGGCCCAATCCAAGGCACAAGGCCAAATGTCCCGCAAAAAGTCTCGCCAGGCACAAGGACCCGGATTTGTCCCGCAGGGTGCGGCGCTCAAGCGGCAGGTTTGGCCAAGCGGTTGAATCCTCCTGTGGATGATTTCTAGTGCCTCGCTGTGTCCACAGAGAGACAGAGTGTGTGAGTGAGTGAGTGAGTGAGTGAGTGAGTGAGCGAGCGAGCGAGCGAGCGAGCAAGCGAGAGAGTGAGTGAGTGAGTGAGTGAGTGAGTGAGTGAGTGAGTGAGTGAGTGAGTGAGTGAGTGAGTGAGAGAGAGAGAGAGTGTGTGTGAGTGAGTGAGTGAGTGAGTGAGTGAGTGAGTGAGTGTGTGAGTGAGTGAGTGGGTGGGTGGGTGGGTGGGTGGGTGGGTGGGTGGGTTGGTTGGTGGGTGGGAGTGAGTGAGTGAGTGAGTGAGTGAGTGAGTGAGTGAGTGAGTGAGTGAGTGAGTGAGTGAGTGAGTGAGTGAGTGAGTGAGGGAGTGAGGGAGTGAGGGAGTGAGGGAGTGAGGGAGTGAGGGAGAATGAGTGAGTGAGTGAGTGAGGGAGTGAGGGAGAATGAGTGAGTGAGTGAGTGAGTGAGTGAGGGAGTGAGTGAGGGAGAATGAGTGAGGGAGAATGAGTGAGGGAGAACGAGTGGGTGGGTGGGTTGTGAGTGAGGGAGGGGAGAGAGTGTGCGAGAGAGCGCGGTGGCGCACCACTTCCGGAGGCATTGATCATGCACACGCCCGTCCGCTCCTTTTCCTTCCTGTTCCAGAACGGTGCGCCACCCGGGGCGGGGGGCCAGGGTGGCATGTAGATGCAGTGCCAAACCAGCCATGGTGAGCTCATCACCGACAAATCCTTGGATGATAGCACCCCCTTTGACATGTCAGGTTTTACTTACTCAATATGGACCGGGCACTCCCCCTGAGAAATTCATCCTTTGGTTAAACATGGACTAGCACCGGAAAGGGGCCATTTGATTGCAGTTGGCCGGCAAAAGCGGCGGCAAACTTTTGAGTCGTGCATAGCTGCGTAGTCGTGGACGCGTTTCCTCCGGCAAGAAGCTTGTGTATAGCCGCTTTGGGGAAGCTCTGCAGTGTGATAGCTAGCGCGAATCGCGAGCGTAGGGGGGAAAACTTTGGTATTTTCTTGGGCCCCAATCTTTTTGCTTGCGCCTCGCAGCTTCCCAGCGGGACGGCATGGGCCAGTTCCTGGTGTATTTGCTCACGAGCAAGCAGCGGGGCGTCATGGCGCGCCCGGCGATTTGGAAGGGGCTGACAAATGTCCCATGGGCAAAAGATCCAGGATAAGGGAAGCATGATGGCCCACAGAAAGTCTTTTGACCAGGGGATGAAGTGGTCTTGTGAAACCAGTCCCAAGTCATTGAGACGTGTGTCATGGTCACATTACCCCATTTGTGGAAGGTTTATGAGCATGCTCAGGAACCATTTGATAGCTTTGGATGTGGAATGGTCATGGCTTGCACCACATCTTCCCTTGACTGGTTTCAAGGACATCGAATTCGGACGTTTGGGGCAACGGTGACTCGCCAGCTGTCCGAATTTGCGCCAGCTCGGAGCAACAGCCATACGACTATCTACATGATCGCGGTAGAATTGGCATGAGTTGTCTCCAAAACCATATTGAATGGGCCCTTCCGCCATGGGTGTGCAGTGTTCCCCGTTTTGCGGGACTTTGTTTCCAGATGTGTTGGGTGGTACTGAAGGGAAGGGAAAGCCTCAAATGAGCCACACCCCACATTGGCATTTCACTAGATGGCTTTGCCACCTACTTTCATCCGGATTGTAGCAAGTCCTATATGATACGAATATGTTCAACTTAGATGTTGGCAGCATTAGTAGTTGGCTTTGCCGCCTACTTTCATCCGGATTGTAGCAAGTCCTATATGATACGAACATTTTCAACTTAAGGGTAGGAGCATCAATAGTTGGCAATGCCGCCTACTTTCATCCGGATTGTAGCAAGTCCTATAGGATACGAACATTTTCAACTTAAGGGTAGCAGCATCAGTAGTTGGCTTTGCCGCCTACTTTCATCCGGATTGTAGCAAGTCACTCATGATACGAACATGTTCAACTGAATTAAGGGTGGCAGCATTAGTAGATGGCTTTGCCGCTTACTTTCATGCGGATTCTAGCAAGTCCTATATGAGACGAACATTTTCAACTTAATGGTGGCAGCATTAGTAGTTGGCTTTGCCGCCTACTTTCATCCGGATTGTAGCAAGTCCTATATGATACGAACATTTTCAAGTTAATGGTGGCAGCATTACTACTTGGCTTTGCCGCCTACTTTCATCCGGATTGTAGCAAGTCCTATATGATACGAACATGTTCAACTTAATTAAGGGTGGCAGCATTAGTAGTTGGCTTTGCCGCCTACTTTCATCCGGATTGTAGCAAGTCACTCATGATACGAACATGTTCAACTGAATTAAGGGTGGCAGCATTAGTAGATGGCTTTGCCGCCTACTTTCATGCGGATTCTAGCAAGTCCTATATGAGACGAACATTTTCAACTTAATGGTGGCAGCATTAGTAGATGGCTTTGCCGCCTACTTTCATCCGGATTGTCGCAAGTCCTATCTGATACAAACATTTTCAACTTAATGGTGGCAGCATTAGTAGTTGGCTTTGCCGCCTACTTTCATCCGGATTGTAGCAAGTCCTATATGATACGAACATTTTCAAGTTAATGGTGGCAGCATTAGTAGTTGGCTTTGCCGCCTACTGTCATCCGGATTGTAGCAAGTTCTATATGATACGAACATTTTCAACTTAATGGTGGCAGCATTAGTAGTTGGCTTTGCCGCCTACTTTCATCCGGATTGTAGCAAGTCCTATATGATACGAACATTTTCAACTTAAGGGTAGCAGCATCAGTAGTTGGCTTTGCCGCCTACTTTCATTCGGATTGTAGCAAGTCCTAAATGATACGAACATTTTCCACTTAATGGTGGCAGCATTAGTAGTTGGCTTTGCCGCCTACTTTCATGCGAATTCTCGCAAGTCCTAAATGATACGAACATTTGCATCTTACTGCTGGCAGCATTAGTAGTTGACTTTGCCGCCTACTTTGATTCGGATTGTAGCAAGTCCTATATGATACGAACATTTTCAATTTAACTAAGGGTGGCAGCATTAGCAGTTGGCTTTGCCGCCTACTTTCATCCGGATTGTAGCAAGTGACTCATGATACGAACATGTTCAGCTCAATTGAGGGTGGCAGCATTAGTAGTTGGCTTTGCCGCCTACGTTCATCCGGATTGTAGCAAGTCCTATATGATGCCAACATGTTCAAGTTAATGGTGGCAGCATATTAGTAGTTTGATTTGCCGCCTACTTTCATCCGGATTGTAGCAAGTCCTATATGATACGAACATGTTCAACTTAATTGAGGGTGGCAGCATTAGTAGTTGGCTTTGCCGCCTACTTTCATCCGGCTTGTAGCAAGTCACTCATGATACGAACATGTTCAACTTAATTCAGGGTGGCAGCATTAGTAGATGGCTTTGCCGCCTACTTTCATCCGGATTGTAGCAAGTCCTATATGATACGAACAATTTCAACTTAAGGGTGGCAGCATTAGTAGATGGCTTTGCCGCCTACTTTCATCCGGATTGTAGCAAGTCCTATATGATACGAGCATGTTCAACTTAATGGTGGCAGCATTAGTAGTTGGCTTTGCCGCCTACTTTCATCCGGTAGCAAGTCCTATATGATACGAACATGTTCAAGTTAATGGTGGCAGCATTAGTAGTTGGCTTTGCCGCCTACTTTCATCCGGATTGTAGCAAGTCCTATATGATACGAACATTTTCAACTTAATGGTGGCAGCGGCTTTGCCGCCTACTTTCATTCGGATTGTAGTAAGTCCTATATGATAGGAAGATGTTCAACTTAGATGTTGGCAGCATTAGTAGTTGGCTTTGCCGCCTACTTTCATCCGGATTGTGGCAAGTCCTATATGATACGAGCATTTTCAAGTTAATGGTGGCAGCATTAGTAGTTGGCTTTGCCGCCTACTTTCATTCGGATTGTAGTAAATCCTATATGATAGGAACATGCTCAACTTAATGGTGGCAGCATTAGTAGTTGGCTTTGCCGCCTACTTTCATCCGGATTGTAGCAAGTCCTATATGATACGAACATTTTCAACTTAAGGGTAGCAGCATCAGTAGTTGGCTTTGCCGCCTACTTTCATCCGGATTGTAGCAAGTCCTATATGATACGACCATTTTCAACTTAATGGTGGCAGCATTAGTAGTTGGCTTTGCCGCCTACTTTCATCCGGATTGTAGCAAGTCCTATATGATACGACCATTTTCAACTTAATGGTGTCAGCATTAGTAGTTGGCTTTGCCGCCTACTTTCATCCGCATTGTAGCAAGTCCTTTATGATACGAACGTAGTTGTCTTTGCCGCCTACTTTGATTCGGATTGTAGCAAGTCCTATATGATACGAACATTTTCAACTTAAGGGTGGCAGCATTAGTAGACCGGATTGTAGCAAGTCCTATATAATAGGATTATGATACGAACATATTCAACTAAATGGTTATTAGTAGTTGGCTTTGCCGCCTACTTTCATCCGGATTGTAGCAAGTCCTATATGATACGAACATTTTCAACTTAAGGGTGGCAGCATTAGTAGCTGGCTTTGCCGACTACTTTCATCCGGATTGTAGCAAGTCCCATATGATACGAACATTGTCCACTGAATGGTAGGCAACATTAGCAGTTGGCTTTGCCGCCTACTTTCATCCGGATAGTAGCAAGTCCTATATGATACGAACATGTTCAACTTAATTCAGGGTGGCAGCATTAGTAGATGGCTTTGCCGCCTACTTTCATCCGGATTGTAGCAAGTCCTATATAATGCGAACATTTTCAACTTCATGGTGGCAGCATTGAGTAGTTGTCTTTGCCGCCTACTTTCATCCGGATTGTAGTAAGTCCTATATGATAGGAAGATGTTCAACTTAGATGTTGGCAGCATTAGTAGTTGGCTTTGCCGCCTACTTTCATCCGGATTGTGGCAAGTCCTATATGATACGAGCATTTTCAAGTTAATGGTGGCAGCATTAGTAGTTGGCTTTGCCGCCTACTTTCATTCGGATTGTAGTAAATCCTATATGATAGGAACATGCTCAACTTAATGGTGGCAGCATTAGTAGTTGGCTTTGCCGCCTACTTTCATCCGGATTGTAGCAAGTCCTATGATACGAACATTGTCAACTTAATGGTGGCAGCATTAGTAGTTGGCTTTGCCGCCTACGTTCATCCGGATTGTAGCAAGTCCTATATGATACGAACATTTTCAACTTAATTAAGGGTGGCAGCATTAGTAGTTGGCTTTGCCGCCTACTTTCATCCGGATTGTAGCACGTCCTATGTGATACGAACATTTTCAACTTAAGGGTGGCAGCATTAGTAGATGGCCTTGCCGCCTACTTTCATCCGGATTGTAGCAAGTCCTATATGATACGAACATTTTCAACGTAATGGTGGCAGCGTTAGTAGTTGGCTTTGCCGCCTACTTTCATCCGGATTGTAGCAAGTCCTACATGATACGAACATGTTCAACTTAGTTAAGGGTGGCAGCATTTGTAGCTGTGCCGCCTACTTTCATCCGGATTGTAGCAAGTCCTATAATATGATACGAACATTTTCAACTTAATGGTGGCAGCATTAGTAGTTGGCTGGGGGGTACACACGGGTCAGAGTACCTCCTTGGGTACTTGGACCCTTTGGGGTTGGCAAACCCAAAGTTGATGGGTCCTTCTCGTGGCAGCTTCCGCGCTGAACGCTGCCAGGCGGAGGCGTCGCAAAGCACCGGCGCCAGCGATGAGGCGCCTGCTGCCTGCAGCTCGCCTCCCAAAGAGGGCAGCGGGCGGCCCGGCCACGTCATTGACGGCGTGCCACGAGTTCTATGTCTGTTTGGGTGCTTTGAACAAAATCTCAGTTGTTCAAAGCCGACCTTTTGACCTTTTGGTTTTTCCTTCTTGGCCTATTTTTAGTAGAGGTCCCAAAAGGTTAACCTTTTATTTAGAGGTCCTTTGGGCAACTGAGAAAAACAATTAACTATATTTGTGTTCCCCTTTTTGCCATTTGGCGGCTCAATCATCACCGTTTCAATACCCTTTCTGGTTCTTAGGTGGTTGCACCTTGACTCTGTTTTGCGGTCTGATATGCTGACACGGGACATACGACGAGGAATCCTGTGTGTTTCGATTGAGCGGTATAGGAATGCATCGCAATGGTACTGCAATCAAATGTTGAGGCCTGTGGTACGAAAAAGGAGGTGACAGAGCGATGAGTTGGCATATACTTGCGCGTTTTGAAATCCATCAGCTTGCATGATTTTGGAGCGCCTTCCATGTCCGAAAGCCCAAGTCCAAATTGTGATGCCAGCATGGAGGATGACGCGGTGAAAGCACCTTCACCCACTGGGAAAAGCAAACCTTTCTTTTGAGATCCTTCAAAAGACGCAGCTGGTCCACTGCAATGGTGCCAGCATGTGCAACTGTCTTCAAAGTGTCTTGGGTCTTTGGCGCTATGCTACATGGTACGCCAGGAAGGTGCTGTACCCGAACAACTCCTGCTATGAAGGAGCATCCCTTGGTGAGCTTGTTTGCAATAGTTGACCCATGACACTACGCTCATGAGTCTCATGAGGTGAGACACATGTTCCACGACATGTGCCTTGGTCGAAGCACCCTTTTTGCTTGGGGTTGATAGATGAACCGTGACGGCCCACTGCCAATGGCGCATGTGATGGATGGAGTGAGACACATATCTAGTCCTGCCTCCAAAAACGCACCCACTTTTCTGTTTATAATAGTTGTTACTTGCTGATCACCACTTGCTTTGATGACAACGTTTTATTCACTATGCAATTCCGTCGCCCAAGGAAGAGGCTAGGGTGCCAGAACATCAGGACGTGTTCTACAGGAAGTTTTACAGGACGTTCAGGAAGCCCTTGCCTCGGGCCGGCCCATTCTTTTGGACCCAAAGTAGCGCCCTTTAGAGGTAGGTCCGCTTTGGAAGTTTCAAGAACCAGGGGTTCGAATCCCCAACACGAAAGGCCAGAGGAACAGGGTTCCCTTTTTGTTCCTCCAAAAATTGGCAGTTTCAGTGGAAGCCGCCAGTACATTGCGACCTTTGTGGGCTCGCAGGAGAGTTTCTGCAGTACATGCGCCACGGCCATGGGATCTTGCACCTGCCGGACCGGACACGTGTCGCGATGGCCGAAGTCCAGATACAAATCGATGGGCTGAAATGGGTTCCATCGCCAGCGTCCAAGGTTGAACAGTGCTTGTTAGGGAGTAGCACTCCCCTTCAAAAGTTGGAATCTGCTGCACAAACATGGGGTGAGTATGGGAAGCCAAAGAAAAAAGCACAATACGCAGGGAATGAGAAATGGAACGACCCAAGAAACACCATCCACACGATTTCGTTTCCTTTATTCGGGGATCCCCAAAACCGGTTCGTTCAACCACCACCTCAAAACTCGGGAATTCCTTTCCTACCCATGGCACCAGGGGAAACAAAACCAACACATAGTTTCGATCGGTGGCTTTGAGCTCAAGTCCAATCGACTTCTAGGCACCTGACAGGCTTGAGGGGAGTTGAGGGTCCGGGCTGGTGTGTTCTGGAGGTGTGGTCCTTGCGGCGCCTCGTGAACCTTCAAGCCAGGAAACAAGCTCTGTGTGTGTGCTTGGTTTCCCCAAAATGGGGGGCAGAGTCCAACAAATGCAGCCCCAACCCCCACCAAGGCCTCCCCCCCAGGTAGTTTTTGTAAGATGGATTTGAAAGGATGCAAGCCAGGGCAACACTTGATGATCCCCCACCAAAGAACACAAAGAAAAACAAGCATCAACTGAGCATGTAACTTTCACTTTGCCGTAAATTACGTTGTCTCAAAGGGCCTCCAAATTGCAAGATTTGCTTTTGGTCTGAAAGGGAAATATTGTCTTGCAATTACCGAACCAAACGTCAAATGGAAAGCCGTCATTTGTTGGGTCCCATATTTGTACACATACCCAGCAATCCTGCGGTCGCAGGATGGCACAAAGCACGAGTCCGAGTGGCGGAATGACGAGCGCCATGGCGCTGGGTACCACTGGCACGAGGGCACAGATGGGCCGAAGATTGGGGAAGATGTGTTCAAAAAACGCTGGTCTCTCTTAAATGGAAACCAAAAGACGTCTGAATCATGGGTTCGTGTCAAAATAGGGGATCCTCCAAAATGGGTGTTTCCTTTGATCCAGTCCAACAGGGATACCCTCGCAAAAAGACTGGCCCAGCCCTGCTTGAGGGCTCTTCAATACATTGGCTTCCACTATTTATTGCCCTCCAAGGACTGTTGAAAATCAGTCGTCCCGGGTCAAATTACACCAGCGTAGACCCCAGCTAGCCAAAACAGATGGATGATTGCACACCAGCACCTCCAACAGCACCCCACGAATAGCGCAACAAACAGCACCCCCGCAAACCAAACAGCTTTCAATCTCGCCAAGAATGCGCCCGCACTCCTCAAGCAGCACCCCAAACAGCGTCCCAGCCAATCTCGCAAAAATGCTCCCTGCCGTCAAGCTCGTAAACATCGTCACTAGCACCTCACACAGCCCCAAACAGAATCCCAAAACTGCCTAGCACGCTAATGGTCAATCTTGCAAAGTTGTGCCCGCAGCGTCACTTGCATGCTCCCTAGCACCCGGCCGTCTATCTCAGCCCGCACCGTCACCAGCACCACGAACAGCTCCCCAAACAGCACACTTTAGCAGCATTTGCACCAGCAACCAAAGTGCATGCCCCAACACCCAGCCGCCAATCTCGCAAATATTTTTCCCTTCTTTGTTAGAAGCTAGAACCCCCACAGCTTTCAGCTACCTGGGGAAAGATATTTTGTGGTACTCCATTGGATGGAACCCTGTGCTGGGCCTCAACATGTGAATGGCTAGTCTCTTGGTTTCCTGGTTGCCTTAGCACGGCTCCTTAAAAGATACATTTTGCCCATTTGAAACATGGCATTTTCCACCAAAATAAAGGGACACCACCATTTACAAGGCAATGTTCAGGTGTATAATGTAAGGAGCCCTGCTTAGGCATTCTTGGCACCTCCACCCTCCCGTGTGGCGAGACTTCAGGCATGTGAGGCGATGTGAGGATTCAGACCGTGAAGGACCATAGTGTCCAAGCTTGGCACCCTTGGCCTAGGACCCCGTTGCGTGAACAGCGCGTTGACATAAAGCCCACCGTTTTCGCTGGAGGTGTTCTCTAGAGGTAGATGCCATAGAGGTTTCATGCCAGGAAAGAACACTGGGCCGATGGCACGGTGTTCTCCGGGCAATACGTTGGCATCCCAGCGTGTTCGGGCAGGTCAAACGGATCTGGGGTCTGGTTTCCGGTTCCATATTTGTATTTCTGCGCGTTGTTTGTGTTGCTTGTATGTTTGAAGCTGATAACTCCTACGGTTATGCAAGAAGGGGTTATGCAAGGTTATGCAAGAGCTCGGATTTGCAAGAAGTTAGCGCTGCCAGACGCAGGCCGTGCGTTGCTTCGCCTCAACGTTGGCGGAGTCGCCATGCTGTAGATATTGGCAGAGCTTTCTCCGAACTGACCAGTTCTAGCTCAACATTTGGGGTCGTGTCTTGCACCGATTTCTCGACTCTACAAACTAGTGTGTTTTGCAGTGTTTGGGGTCGCACCGTTCTTATGTAATACTTTCCGTATTTTCATGACTCTTGTCCCCCTGGGACCACAGTGCCAAGCCGAAACATAAGCGCTTGCTCAGCCACTTTGGCCACCCAAGGGCATCCATTTTCAATCGCCAGTCCTAATATTTCCCTGTTTGGGTGGCCGTGGAATGACGTTCCATTTGGCTGATGCTTTAAGGGGTCGTGTGAGCCACATTCAAGCAGATGAAGGTCGCAAGGGACACAACCATAAGCAGGTGCGGCCAACCTTTGTGTTGTTTGCATGGTGTTGGGTGGACGCCTGTAATACCAGGTTTTGCTTGTGACTCGTATATGGCACTACCTGGCCGTGTTTCAACCACCCCCGGGTCTCACTCGTGAGGTGCGCGGCATGCGCCACGGGCACGGCACCATGACTTGGCCTGAGGGCTCCAGGCCAGGCTTTGAAGCCACCGGCAGGGCGAGGTTTGGGATTGTGGAGGAACCCCCTTACAAATCCCATTATTTGCCAACAAACAAGCCCTTCAATTGGTCACTGACATGTTGGTGAACATATATATATATATATACACATAATATGTATACTGCGCGGATTGTATGGGAATTGGTGGGTTCCTTTCTTCTTCCCCTGGCAACCATCCCATAGGCAGCAAATTAAGTCCTCACCAGGGCCTGGGATTTTCCTTGAGTCGAGGGGTGCCAGGAACTCAACTAGTGCCCTCTAGTTCGACTTAAATACAAGGGTGCCTTGCATACGCGTGTCTTTGGCACTGCTTGCTGACAACTGGCCATTCCGAACCAAAGAGGGTGCTTTAATTATATATGGTATTGTCCCATCGCTGTATGAGCGACTGATTTCGTTTGCAGAAGACTACTGTAAAGCCCGGGAGGGAACATGTTTGGAGTAACATGTTGCATTAGGTGCAAAGCCAGGGTGGGAACACCCCCAAAATGAGGTAAACACATGCGGCATTGGAAAACGAGATCAATGAGTCCAAACAGTGCACGGTCGATTCAACTATGTAGCAAACAACATCTGTAGCTCATGTATTGTGGCTCTGTGTGCGTGTGCGCCTAGATGTCTTTAGGAAATCCACATCTCGCTGCACCATAAAGCCAACTCAAACCAACAAGAAAAACGCGAAACAACCAAACACCAGCATATTGAAACGAGAACCGCAGCCGATGATGCTGGGGATAGCCGGCTTCAGAGCAAGCGCATGACGTTTTGGGACAAAAAGGGACACCCTGCAATCTCTCACAAGTCCATCAGTTTGTCACACGATAAATTAGTTTCAGATAAGTCCAGAGCACAAATGCTCATATAGCCAAGTCGCACCGAAACTACACAAGCCCGCGCTGAAACAGCAGGCAGGAACTGTCCACAAGACTGACTTTCAGGACTGCCCTCAATGATGGAGGGGATGCCCAAAATGCCAGTTCTTTGCAGCACAGAAACAAAACTCACTGGACAAGACATGTTTTGGTCAATAGATGTTGAGCTGAACATGCGGCCCCGAAGTTCCGGAGAAAGATTGTGACACACTCGCGCGGAAGCCCCGACTGACCTAGACTGCCTCCGCTGCGCCTAGACGCTGTCTCCTCCTACAAGTTGCTCCGAGCCTTTTATCGATGACACCTCAATCGAAGAATGGTCAGGTTTTGCCTGGTGTCCTTTGCCTTCCCGTTCTAGGAGCCCTTGTGCCAGGGAGTTTGGTGTATCCCTGTGAATTAATGCTTGTTTGCAAATTGTATTGGCACGATACTGCTAGCTAGAAGAGCTTGAACTGAATGATGCGAATCTCGGATGGCCAACTCGACCTCCACCGAAGCTGTTTATTTCGGGGTCGCAACGCGAACGGCAGCATCTGGATAGTATGGGTTTGTCTCAAAATTAGGGGACTGCATAAATGGTTGGTGTCCCTTGGTTTCGCACAAACCAACCGAAGAGGATTCCACAAAAAGAAACACCAACAGCCAACAGACATACCCATAGTATGAATGCAGGAGACAGCTGAGTGGTTCAGAGTTGTGGTGTTCTATACTGCGTTCCCCTATGGTCGTGATCAACATGGAGGCAATGTTGACCTGGGATCAATCATTTTGGCGCATGAACCATGGCGCATTTCCGAGCATCCAAATCCAACAGGTGCCTTCCTGCATTCGTCACACTCCGACCATTCCTCAACTAGGTCCTTTTACCTTTTTTTGGTCAGGGTTCCCCTACTAAAATAGACTACAGCAAAAAAATCGGGTACCCTTATTCTAACCTCTCTACGGGACCTAGTCAAGCACGCCTGGTTACGCCACGTGTCGGGACAGGTACACCGGGATGTTCGAGCGCGGCCGTGCGAACGGCGACGGCGAGCTGATCCGTGAGGCTCTCAGGCGGAGTCTGGCGCAGACCCTGCCGACACGAAGAGTCACCACAGTTTGGCGGAGGGTTGATCCAAACTTAATGGGATACAGACCATGTTTGTGGTGGTTGATCTAAACTTGGTGGGATAAATACAATTTTTGTGGTGGTTGATCTAGACTTAATGGGATAAAGACCATGTTTGTGGTGGTTGATCTAAACTTGGTGGGATAAATACAATTTTTGTGGTGGTTGATCTAGACTTAATGGGATAAAGACCATGTTTGTGGTGGTTGATCTAAACTTGGTGGGATAAATACAATTTTTGTGGTGGTTGATCTAGACTTAATGGGATAAAGACCATGTTTGTGGTGGTTGATCTAAACTTGGTGGGATAAATACATTTTTGTGGTGGTTGATCTAAACTTAATGGGATAAAGACCATGTTTGTGGTGGTTGATCTAAACTTGGTGGGATAAATACAATTTTTGTGGTGGTTGATCTAAACTTAATGGGATAAAGACCATGTTTGTGGTGGTTGATCTAAACTTGGTGGGATAAATACATTTTTTGTGGTGGTTGATCTAAACTTAATGGGATAAAGACCATGTTTGTGGTGGTTGATCTAAACTTGGTGGGATAAATACAATTTTTGTGGTGGTTGATCTGCACTTAATGGGATAAAGACTATGTTTGTGGAGGTTGATCTAAACTTGGTGGGATAAATACAATTTTTGTGGTGGTTGATCTAAACTTATTGGGATAAAGACCATGTTTGTGGTGGTTGATCTAAACTTGGTGGGATAAATACAATTTTTGTGGTGGTTGATCTAAACTTAATGGGATAAAGACCATGTTTGTGGTGGTTGATCTAAACTTGGTGGGATAAATACAATTTTTGTGGTGGTTGATCTAAACTTAATGGGATAAAGACCATGTTTGTGGTGGTTGATCTAAACTTGGTGGGATAAATACAATTTTTGTGGTGGTTGATCTAAACTTAATGGGATAAAGACCATGTTTGTGGAGGTTGATCTAAACTTGGTGGGATAAATACAATTTTTGTGGTGGTTGATCTAAACTTAATGGGATAAAGACCATGTTTGTGGTGGTTGATCTAAACTTGGTGGGATAAATACAATTTTTGTGGTGGTTGATCTAAACTTAATGGGATAAAGACCATGTTTGTGGTGGTTGATCTAAACTTGGTGGGATAAATACAATTTTTGTGGTGGTTGATCTAAACTTAATGGGATAAAGACCATGTTTGTGGTGGTTGATCTAAACTTGGTGGGATAAATACATTTTTTGTGGTGGTTGATCTAAGCTTAATGGGATAAAGACCATGTTTGTGGTGGTTGATCTAAACTTGGTGGGATAAATACAATTTTTGTGGTGGTTGATCTGCACTTAATGGGATAAAGACTATGTTTGTGGAGGTTGATCTAAACTTGGTGGGATAAATACAATTTTTGTGGTGGTTGATCTAAACTTATTGGGATAAAGACCATGTTTGTGGTGGTTGATCTAAACTTGGTGGGATAAATACAATTTTTGTGGTGGTTGATCTAAACTTAATGGGATAAAGACCATGTTTGTGGTGGTTGATCTAAACTTGGTGGGATAAATACATTTTTTGTGGTGGTTGATCTAAGCTTAATGGGATAAAGACCATGTTTGTGGTGGTTGATCTAAACTTGGTGGGATAAATACAATTTTTGTGGTGGTTGATCTGCACTTAATGGGATAAAGACTATGTTTGTGGAGGTTGATCTAAACTTGGTGGGATAAATACAATTTTTGTGGTGGTTGATCTAAACTTATTGGGATAAAGACCATGTTTGTGGTGGTTGATCTAAACTTGGTGGGATAAATACAATTTTTGTGGTGGTTGATCTAAACTTAATGGGATAAAGACCATGTTTGTGGTGGTTGATCTAAACTTGGTGGGATAAATACAATTTTTGTGGTGGTTGATCTAAACTTAATGGGATAAAGACCATGTTTGTGGTGGTTGATCTAAACTTGGTGGGATAAATACAATTTTTGTGGTGGTTGATCTAAACTTAATGGGATAAAGACCATGTTTGTGGTGGTTGATCTAAACTTGGTGGGATAAATACATTTTTTGTGGTGGTTGATCTAAACTTAATGGGATAAAGACCATGTTTGTGGTGGTTGATCTAAACTTGGTGGGATAAATACAATTTTTGTGGTGGTTGATCTAAACTTAATGGGATAAAGACCATGTTTGTGGTGGTTGATCTAAACTTGGTGGGATAAATACAATTTGTGTGGTGGTTGATCTAAACTTAATGGGATAAAGACCATGTTTGTGGTGGTTGATCTAAACTTGGTGGGATAAATACAATTTTTGTGGTGGTTGATCTAAACTTAATGGGATAAAGACCATGTTTGTGGTGGTTGATCTAAACTTGGTGGGATAAATACAATTTTTGTGGTGGTTGATCTAAACTTAATGGGATAAAGACCATGTTTGTGGTGGTTGATCTAAACTTGGTGGCATAAATGCAATTTTTGTGGTGGTTGATCTAAACTTAATGGGATAAAGACCATGTTTGTGGTGGTTGATCTAAACTTGGTGGGATAAATACAATTTTTGTGGTGGTTGATCTAAACTTAATGGGATAAAGACCATGCTTGTGGTGGTTGATCTAAACTTGGTGGGATAAATACAATTTTTGTGGTGGTTGATCTAAACTTAATGGGATAAAGACCATGTTTGTGGTGGTTGATCTAAACTTGGTGGGATAAATACAGTTTTTGTGGTGGTTGATCTAAACTTATTGGGATAAAACCATGTTTGTGGTGGTTGATCTAAACTTGGTGGGATAAATACAATTTTTGTGGTGGTTGATCTAAACTTAATGGGATAAAGACCATGTTTGTGGTGGTTGATCTATTTTGTGGTGGTTGATCTAAACTTAATGGGATAAAGACCATGTTTGTGGTGGTTGATCTAAACTTGGTGGGATAAATACAATTTTTGTGGTGGTTGATCTAAACTTAATGGGATAAAACCATGTTTGTGGTGGTTGATCTAAACTTGGTGGGATAAAGAACATGTTTGTGGTGGTTGATCTAAACTTGTTGGGATAAAACCATGTTTGTGGTGGTTGATCTAAACTTGGTGGGATAAATACAATTTTTGTGGTGGTTGATCTAAACTTAATGGGATAAAGACCATGTTTGTGGAGGTTGATCTAAACTCGGTGGGATAAATACAATTTTTGTGGTGGTTGATCTAAACTTAATGGGATAAAGACCATGTTTGTGGTGGTTGATCTAAACTTGGTGGGATAAATACATTTTTTGCGGTGGTTGATCTAAACTTATTGGGATAAAACCATGTTTGTGGTGGTTGATCTAAACTTGGTGGGATAAATACAATTTTTGTGGTGGTTGATCTAAACTTAATGGGATAAAGACCATGTTTGTGGTGGTTGATCTAAACTTGGTGGGATAAATACAATTTTTGTGGTGGTTGATCTAAACTTATTGGGATAAAACCATGTTTGTGGTGGTTGATCTAAACTTGGTGGGATAAAGAACATGTTTGTGGTGGTTGATCTAAACTGCAACCGGTGTTGTTGTTTTTTACGAGCCCCGGCTCGGGGCTTAGCCCCGGCCAGGGGACTGGCTAGTTGGTTGGCTGGTTGGTTGGTGGGTGGGTGGGTTGGTTGGTTTTCTGCGTTGGTTGGTTGGTTGGTTCGTTGGTTCGTTGGTCAGCTGGGCGGCCGCATCCCAAGCATCACCGGCCTCGCTCGGACTAGGGCTGCCAATTGGCTTTGATTTGTCGGCAGTTCAGAGTTGGTCCGGGCTGGTTTCGGGCGAGTGTCGGGCTTGCTGAGGTCAATATACTACTAATGAGGGCGGGTCTTGGGTATGTTTGGGGTTCATTTAGGCTTTGTAAAGGGTTGATATCCAGGATGATGTTGCGAGGGTTTAAGGTTGACTTTGAGTCGGTTTGGGTTGGCTTGGAGCTGATTTGCCCGAGGTGTGCGTCCCTAAAGCAGCCCAAAAGCTGCTGCAAAAACCGGGCCGCACACCTCGCGCGAACCAGCTCCAAGCCAACCCAAACACTCAAAATCAACCTTAAACCCTCGCAACATCATCCTGGATATCAGCCCTTTACAAAGCCTAAATGAACCCCAAACATACCCAAGACCCGCCCTCATTAGTAGTATATTGACCTCAGCAAGCCCGACACTCGCTTGAAACCGGCCCGGAGCAAAATCTGAATTGCCACCAAATCAAAGCCAATTGGCAGCCCTAGTCCGAGCGAGGCCGGTGATGCTGGGGATGCGGCCCACCAACCCGTTCCCCAGCCTGGCCAACTAGGCTAAATTTCCATCATCGACTGTTAGGTGGGGGCAGGGTCCAAGCTATGCATTCGTTAGTATTCGGGTGGAACTCGTTTTGTGCTGCGGCTCGCAAGCAAAGCTGGGTAGATTCCAACAAGATCGGCAGGCAGGTTCGTGTAGGCGTGTTTTGCCCTCAGTGTAAAGAGTATTTTGTGTTGAAAAGGCAAGCGCTCGCGTTTCATTTTGACGAAGGCCCTCATAGGCCCTGTTACAGGTGTGTTCACACCATGTGCAGCCATGCGTTCAGTGTTCGAATGGTTTGTTGTGCCAAAGAAGGCTCACCGCAAAAAGTGTCCCTTTTCCTTTGGCCACTGGTCTGGGTTATGTGATTTTCCGCCTTGTATTCAACACTTCAGGTTCTTTTGGTTGGGAACGTATCGTTGGTGTGTTATTGCATACCCGATCTAAGACACGCTAAGTCGAGATTCCGCTGTAGCGGAGCTGAAGATGAAACAGCAGCCGTCAATATTCACAGTCATCTTCCTTTTGAGGGCACGAAATGGGGCACATTCCCCACATCAACCAACCAAAAACGTTTCTCCCGTGAAGCGCGAGCTGAGGTACGGACAACTCCATCTACCGAGGTCAGTTCCAGGAGGAGATTTTCCTCGTGGGGTCCAGCAGCAATCCCTAACATCCCTCCTCCCTGCTTCACCCCAAATTTGACTCCGGAAAAGGAATCCTGAAGGAGGCGGGCTAGGGGAGGGTGGGGTTGAATCCTACGAACTAAGCCGTTCGAGATCGCTCGCAGGACTGCATGTCTGGTTATGGCTGCATGCGATGGGTGGACGGCGTGGAGTGAGCCGACACAACAGCTGGAGCATGGCATGTCGAACTCCAAATCCTTAAATTGATCTAGGCAACCAGCTGCAGCAAGCTGTACAGGAAGCCATCCAAAATCCTGGCTCTGCTGGGTATTTGGCTAGCTTCCTATTTTGATTTCCTGTAACTGGTCTTCATGACATGAGCTTTTGGGAATTTGATCGCTGTCATAGTGAGTGCACTGTTTTTTTTTTCCTGAAATGTGGTGCTGGCACGTGCACACTCCAAACAGGAAAGCTGGGCGAACCATTTGTCTCTGGCCAAGGGGTTCCTACCTCCATCTCCCATAGCCACGGGCAAATCCCGCGAGGTACAAAGGCCATTTCCAGGCGAACAAGCGGCATGGCTTGGGCAAGATGGCCCTACCGGCAGGTTTGTTTTTTGTTGGTTTCTGGTTCACGCCTGGGGTATGTCGTCAAAAATGGGGGGGACACCGAAAAGGGTGTTTGTTTCCTTTAGGTTTTAGTTTTCACCAGGTGCCCTCGAACACATCCATTCACTGCGCCAGGTGTGACGTCTCTAAGAGAGAGCGCACCTGGTCGTTACTCAGAGAAACCCACGAAATCGTCTTTTGGCCATGGGTCATAACCTATGCCTCCATTCTGGGGCGGATGAACAGCCATGTACCACCTATTTTTATGTTCACCAGGGGTATATACAGGGTTTTGCTCCACAGCCATTCAACCTGGAGTGGACCCACACCTCTGGAAGATGGATGGGATGGATTTGCGATCATTACAGCCACAGCGCGAAGGTTTGAAGGGACTTCTTTGACCCTGGAGGATATTATTCCCGGGAACTCGGTTGCAGGGCAATTTGCGCAGGCGTCACAATCAGATGCAACAGCCCTGTTCTGTAGGGCTAGTTCATCTTGTTGCGATCTTGTGCTGGCGAATGATTTGTTGCTCATTGATTGTTGTTTCTTCTTGCTCTGTGCGCCTTTCTCCTCGATTGCGCGACTCGGAGTGACAGGCATGGACTGTGGGCAAATGGAAGTGCTACGAGGGCGCTTGGAAGGCGGGGTGATGTCTTTGTTCAAAGGTCCGCTTGTCCAGAATTCCATCGCGGCAAGCTGGATGATATTAGCTTCGGATTAATCCGCAAGGCAATACTCATTGGAGGAATCCTCTAAAACGAACTGATTCGTTGAGAAAAGGGAAACCTCAGCTGATTGTTGTGGTTGTGCGGATGAATCCGAAGTTCACATTATATTCATGGACTTATTGGGAAGCTGCTTTGGACTCTCCCACAAGAAGTGTTCCAACTATGCTCGAACTAAGGTCAAGCGTATTGTGCGTCCGTTGCACAGTGCACGCTACCATGAGTTTGTCTTTGCTGATTTACATGGGTACCAGGCTAGTTTATGTAAGCTTGACGTAGCAGGCAGGTTTGTGTAAGCTTACCCCAAAGCGGTCCAACGGTGCAATGGTTGACGAGGTTGCCATGATGCGACCGAAGCATTTTCAGCGTTTTTGGCAGCTTGTGTTCCTTTGCTCCCGCAATGCCGTCCGTGGAGAATGCAGCCCTGCTGTTCGGAGCCGTGGCCGGCACGGCCTTGACCACGACGGCCTTTGTGGCACCAGGGCCCGTGGATGCCAAGACCGGGCTCCGTGCGTCGGGCTACTCCCGGTCCTCGCAGTCCTCGCAGTCCTCGCAGTCTGGCATGGGAGCCTTGGTTAGTACAACCTACCTTTAAACCTGGAACATGCATGAACATGTTGATTTCCCCACTGACGAGCAACTTAAGCAGGTCCTTGGGACCAAGGAGCTATGGCCGGCTTGGGTGCTGTTGCCGGACTCGCGGCGGCCGGGGTGGCAGGCAAGCGCGCGGGCAAGAACCGTACCTCCATGCAGGCAGTGGGAGTCGGCATCAACGGCTTCGGCCGCATTGGGCGTCAGGTGGCCCGCATTGCCATGAAGGATCCTGAGACCGAGCTGAAGCTGATCAACGCAAGCTACGATGCGGACTATCTTGCTTACATGATGAGCCTCGTTTGATTGATCAGTTTGTGATTGATTGATGTGTTTGAGGTGTCCTCATTTCAGTCTTTGTTGTTTTGTTGCAGCGGTTGTGAGTGTGAACGTTGACAAGCCAAAAGGAAGTATGACACTATCCATGGCAAGTATGACGGCACCGTGGAGGTGGACGGAGATTCCCTGGTGGTGGACGGCCAGAAGATTGCGCTGTCCCACACCCGCGACCCTGCAGAAATCCCCTTCGGTGAGCATGGCGCCGAGTACGTGTGCGAGTCCACGGGAGTGTTCCTGACCACGGACAAGGTTCAGGGTCACCTGAAGGCTGGCGCAAAGAAGGTGATCTTCTCGGCCCCCGCCAAGGATGACTCTCACACCATTGTGATGGGCGTGAATCAGGACACCTACGACCCCTCCATGGAGTGCGTGTCCTGCGCCTCCTGCACCACCAATGGCCTTGCTCCGGCTGTGCGAGTGCTGCAGGAGAAGTTTGGCATCAAGCGCGGCCTGATGACCACCTGCCACGCCATGACTGCCTCCCAGCCCACCGTGGATGGCACCTCCAAGAAGGACTGGCGCGGTGGCCGCTCCGGGCCTGGCAACATCATCCCTTCCTCCACTGGAGCGGCCAAGGCCGTGGCGAAGGTCATCCCTGCGGTGAAGGGCAAGCTCACAGGCGAATCGCGGGAAATACGAACAGGGCTGTTGGATTGATGGATTGCCCACCCCCAACTCACCGGACCAATGCAACTCCCACCGGGTTCTTGCTGGCCTCAGTTGTTCAAAGCCGACCTTTTGACCTTTTGGCTTTTCCTTCTTGGCCTAATTTTAGTAGAGGTCCCAAACGGTGAACCTTTTATTTACAGGTCCTTTGGGTAAGTGATTTACTCGAAGCACAGATTTCGGATGATTTCCACCATGCAGAGGAATGGCCCTGCGGGTCCCGACCATCGACGTCTCCGTTGTCGATCTTACCGTCGAATTGGAGACGCGGTTGCAGCCAGCGGTGCGATGTGGCTGTGGGTCAAAACCAATGGTACCATTTTGGGGTCGGTGCACCACCCATTTAGTGTATTTTAGTGGGGATTGGGATGTTCACTGGGGGTACGGGCTTTGGACCCATGGACATGTGTTTCCTTTCTGTTTGGAGGGGGAAAGCCTCTCAAGTACCGGAAAAGTCAAGCAAAGCAAACCGATCTCCATTAAACAAATCAACTACCACAAGTCAACCAGCGAAGCAGCAACACATCCCTTTACTACAGCCAACGAGCAAAAGACCAGGTTCAAGCAGCAGCAGAAAGTCAACGCAAGGTCTGTTTGTTCCCGTGGAACTCTGAGGAGAAGGAGACGACCTACGAGGAGATCTGTGCAGAGATGAAGAAGCGCTCGGAGGGCGACATGAAGGCATGGCTCCAGAAGTTTGGACGCCCACTCTTTTGGAGTCCCTTTTAGACAAAGTCATGGTTGCGGAAATCGTGGGAAAGGGTTTTAAGCCGCCATTGGTGGTACCAACCAAAGTGACGTCACAGGGATCGATCCCTGACTGATGTCCCAGGGCTTCCTCGGCTACACGGAGGAGGCCTTGGTGTCCACCGACTTTGAGACTTGCCCCATCTCCTGCACCTTCGATGCCAAGGCGGGTGTTATTCGTCTAAAAACGTACACCGGTAGAGCCGGAGCCGGTGGAAGGAAGTTTCGAACAACATGAACATATGCTATGTTTGCATTGTCGGTCTGGTTTGTATTGTTATCCTCTTCCGCTTTCTTTTTATGCTGTGTTTGTTTAAACAAACTATAATTATAATGATATTTGTTCTCATTGTCGGATGTATCCTTATTTCATTTATGTGCATATTCTTTGTTTGTCTCGTATGAATTAAGAATGCTTGTCTTAATATGAGTTAAGACAGGTACACATATCGTATGGATTTTTATCTTGGTTGATAGCGTCTTCTTTGTTTGCTGTTTCTTTCTTCCTCTGTTTCTTTGTTTGTTTGTGTGTTTGTTTCTGTCTTTGGTTTTTCTTTGTTTCTTTCTGTTTGTCTTTTGTTTCTGTCCATCTCTCTCTCTCTCTATCTCTATCCCCCTCTCTCTCTCTATCCCTCTCTTTCTCTCTCTCCCTCTCTCTCTCGCTCTCTCTCTCCCTCTCTCTCTCTCTCCTTATCCTTTTTATTGTTATCTTCATCATTTGTATCATCTTGTTCTTTATTGTAAACGCTTCTCGTTACCCGCCTCGGCCAGTCCGCTTTTGGCTGGCTTTGAGGTATATACTGTGCTTTAGTTTGCCTTGAAGTGTTGTTTATTGGACAATGCGCGAGCTGGTTTCCAAGGTACAGTGCAAATGCCTGGAGTTGGGCCGTTCTAGGGGATTGGACCGGCTTTCTGCGGTTTTGAGAGGGGAGTTGATTGCTTTCTAGGGAGTTTGGTCGGCTCGAGGGGAATGATCGGCTTTGAGAAAGGGGCTTCCCAGCCCTGCGGGTTCGCCCTGAAACGCGTGAGCTGGTTTCCAAGGAGGGTGGATACGTGTCCGCTCGTTTCCATGGGCAGAAGATACAGAATGGCAGTGGGACATGACTGGCTTTGAGGGGGATTTTTGCAAGTTTCTAGCTTTCATGAGGAAGTCAAGTCTTTAGACCATCTCTCAAGATTTTGCTTTCTATCCAGGCAACGCATGTCTTCAATCCTAGTCTTTGCTTTTTTCAATGGCTGGGTTATGCGCTCTAGTGTTGGATATTCCGGGATCATGTGATCCACTGACTTGTGGAAGTCCGACGGGCCTCCAATCACTTGGCCGGAGTTGGGCCGGCTTGGGGGTGATTTGCTTCCGTTTCTAGAGGGGGATTTGACCGGTTTCGGTTTTTTGCGCGACTTGACCGGGGTTGGACCGGCTTTGAGATTTGACCGGCTTCTAGTGGGGCCCGGCCCGGGGCCGACCGCTTCCAGACTCGCTGGAGCAGGGATTTGGACAATAAAGGGATCGGGATGGGTTCTCGTTGCTCTTTTGTGAGCTTCCTCTTTATCTTTAAATTTTACCTTCTTCATCTTGTTGTTGCTTTCTTCTCTCTTCTTTCCATCTTTTCTTCTCTTTCCCTTTTTTCTCCTCCTCCTCTTTCTTCTTCTTTTTCTTTCTCTTTCTGGCCTTCGAAACTGCTGCGCCTGCCACGAGATCTGGCGTGACCTTGCCACAATGCTGCACCTCCACAACATGCGCACCTCGCCTTCCAAAAAGTGCCGCACCTGACTCGAAATGTGTTCCTGACTGCGCAAAGCTCCACGAAAAGTGTGCCCGACTTTGCAAAAGTATACTGCGCCTGCCATGAAGTCTTTACCTGACCTTGCGAAAGTGCCCGGAAAGTGCTTTGTGAGCATGTCAGAGAGCTAGCTTTCAATTGGTGTTCTTCTAAACTTCCTTTGACCAACATGTGTCTTATTTGGAGGGTAAATGTAGCAAAACATGAGAAGACGCTCCAGATTCGAAAGAAACACGTCGCAAGGCAGGCATCATGCTCGACCCCACCTTTGTGAAGGTGGTGTGCTGGTACGACAACGAGTGGGGCTACTCATGCCGCGTGGTTGACTTGATCAAGCACATGGCCGCGGAGGATGCCAAGGCATAAGCAGTTCTAGAGGAAGAAGCGCAAGAGAACATAGGCGTTATGTGAAGGGCCCAGTTGGGCGACCAAGCCAGACAGGGTCTCTTCCGAATTTTCCGCACGCAGCAGTGGCTGCAATTTTAGACTTCAGACGTGACAGAAGCGGCAGCCAAAAGGAGGTGCCATTGACGTGGCCTGGACTGAATGCGAGAACCATTGAGTTGAACAATTTTCATCTCAGGGTCGAATGTAATAGCTCTGTGAAACCAATCGCATTTGTCTGAACACCTGGAAAGTATCACCCAGCATGCCCCTACAAGGGCCTATACAATTCAATGGGGTAGCGCGGTACCATCCAACAAAATTGCCTCACCATGGGACAATCATGTTTGTGAGCATTTAGCCTCTTCTTGGGGTGTCCTCCAATAAATTTGCATTTACTTGTTGCAGGTGAAGCATGGACCAACAGATCTGAATATATGACTTGTGTTGTGTATAGTGACCCCATATTTTCAGGTTGCACCTAACAGGTGGGTTGGATGAGTGGTTTTTTTGAATCTGTGGTTCTTGTTGGAGGCAAATGGGAAACGTCGGGAACACCCCTAAACCACCAATCCAAACATTATCCGAAAAACCACCAAACAGGATGGTGCTCGAAGCTTTCCCTCTAAGATCATTGAATCAACCAACAAATCACTGGCCTTTTTCCCCAAGGCCGGTCTGGGGGTCTGGACTGGGGTCTGGGGGTCTGAAAAGCTGAGATTCCAAGTGATATTCCAGAGTTTTGAGGATGGTGTGCAGCATGGCCGCGGCATGCTCACGGACCAGGGTGGCGTCGCGGGGGAAGCCCAGAGGCACAGTAGGTGATGTATTGGGATAGGCGTTCTAATCAGGTATTGGGATGAAGGAGAGTTCAAAGACGGCAATGTGTTTGGCAAATGTTTGAAGCACACTCTAGACCTATTGTGGCAGCAAATCGGGACATCCCCGATGCCTGATTGGTTCATCAAAGGGCTGTCATACATCAAATGGACAATTCGGTGTGTGGCTCATGTTCAGCCAAATACAGAGACTCCACGGCCTGACTAAAGGAGGCAGAAGAGGAATCTACTTCATGTGGGTCGGAGCAATGAACATATGGCCGGCGGCTCTCACTCCAGGGCCTAAGGCCAAGGGTAAATGTGATTTTGCCCTTGGACTGGGTGGCAGGTCACGGCAAGCTCAAGCTAGTAGAGAGGAACCTGATCTTTGCTTGGCAGCACCGCTATATAGCATTCGCCAGATGTTGACAGATTCAGAATGAACATTAGCAACTAGTATTGGCAGCAAAGCCGGCGGAGCCGGCAGGGGGCGGGAGGTTTTTGTTTTTACCCTATATGGTTTGGAGCACGCTTGTTCTCCCCTTCTCTCTCTCTCTCTCTCTCTCTCTTTCTTTCTTTGTCTCTTTGCCTTCTTTCTCTCTTTCTCTCTTTCCCTTTCTCTGTGTTTTTCTCTTGCTCTTGCTCCTGCTTATGTTGTCCTTTCTCTTTCTCTGTCTCTTTCTCTCCATCTCTCTTTCACTCTTTCACTCTTTCTTCTCTCTCTCTCTCGCTCTCGCTCTTTCTCTCTCTCTCTCTCTCTCTCTCTCTCTCGCTCTCCTGAGCCCACGAAAGTGACAGAGCGGGAAACCCCTCATTGTTTTGGATCGACACCGAAAGTCCGCAGAAGGTTCACCTGTTGATGGTTGCGCAAGCTCACAAAAAAAAAAAGCTTTTCAAGCTCGACCGGCCCGAAGTGCGCAAGCGAAATGAACACACCCACCCATCCACCCACACACCCACGCACCCACGCACGCACGCAGGCGCCTGGCCCGCACGCACGCAGGCACCCACCCACCCACACACACACACACGTTTTTCAGAGTCGACCCACCCAAAGTGGAGGGTTCGCTTTTTAAAGGCTCTCCCGTTTGGGTTTCAACATGTGTTTTACTTGTCGACGTGAAGAGAATGGTGCGGTCTACTTTCACCCCGTGTTTCGGCTTTGGCGTTGTCCGAGGCTTACGTGGGGCACTTCGTGGATGGGAAGCTGGACCACTGGGAAGAGAAGCCACAGGCGCGTGAAGTTCAACTGAGCACTTCAGGCGAGAGATGTTGGCCATGTTTCAACGTGGGGGGCGGTCCCATGTGAAGCTGGCTATTTGAAATTTGACAGTTTTTTTCCACCAGACCAAAAGGAAACCACTTTTTTGTTTTGTGGGGACTGTTCAGGTGGAAGACTGAGAACCCCTGTGGGAATGTTGCAGGTTGGGACTTGTTGTTTCTGCCCCACGACGGAGCTGGAGCACTTTGAAAGGGGCCGAAAGAAAAGTGGGGCTTGATGTCTCGTTCTGCTACAGGGGACTTCCTGAATGACTCTTCTGCAACCCAATGCTTGAAATCCAGAAAGGAGAGCCAAAACCCAGAAAGCTCCAGCCCTTGCAGCAGATTGTCCCTTGCAACAGATTGTCAAGTCCAGTTTGTAGAGGTGACAATTGAGTTTTGCAGCATCCCATCCTTCGGGGACCCCACGCACTGGACCCTTTGGACGTATTTAACCCTAAGGATCTTGCAGGATTTTCGTTTTGAACCGTGGCGCGCTTGCGAAGTTCAGGACCGAGGTTTGGACTTGCTGATTTAATGTGTTGGTCAGGTGATTTGTGTTGGCATTGCTCAATTCTTTCTCTGTGGGGCGTTCTGGACTTGCTCGTTGCTTGTGACGTTCTGTACCATCTTGTATTGTCTGGTGTCATAACATGTCATAATCACAGAATTCACAATGAGAGTCTGAGTTACTGGCAAATTCAATCTCAGAAAGTCCACTGCAAATCATGTCGCACAGTTTGGCTGGAATGATTTTAATGATGAGTTGTCGCCTGCCCTTGCTTGGCGCTTATAACAACAACTGCGTAGCTGTAGCAAGATGCTGACTGTGTAGTGTTTCCTGTTCATGGAGCATCTTTCTTGTTTTACATCCCCTTTTTCGACGTATGCCGCAACCTGCGCAGTGCACTTCGTATGCTTGCGTGCCGCTGTAGCCATTCTCAGAGTTCCACCTCATTTGTTTAGACTGTTTACTATTCACCGTATTGCATGCGCCTTGCGTAGCCCTCATGTTGAAACGACAAAAGCACAAACACTCTGTGACATCCCAATCTTGCAATATGGCAGCAGCCAAAAGCACTACGTTCCAGACTTCCGACCCAGACCCTTATTGCGGCGAGAGAAATACAAAAAAGGAAAAGCAAGCAAGACAGACGCAAAGAAAGCAAGCAATAATGTGGGGTAGGTGTTTTTTTGCATTTAAGTATTCACGGTGTTTGTTGAGCGAAGTCGGGGATGGCTTGCGCTCGGTTAATGGTCAAAAATTAGGATTGATTTAGGATTGGCGTAGGGTTGACTGGGGTTGAGGTAAGGTTTGGGTCAGGTAGTCAACTTTTAGTCAAATCTAGGGTTGCTTTGGGGGTTGAATTGGGCGTCAGGTGCTTCAGCCAGAACGCCAGCTAGCCTCAGAGAATTCGGGGAAGTGTACAGGCGAAATCGGCCATGCGGCTCAATGCATGCCTGTGCCTAGAGATCTTGCATGACCCGGATTCCCGGAAAAAAATCGAGCGTGTTGCTGGGTCGGTCAAAGCGGTTGCATTGTGAAGGGTTGACAAAATGTCATGTTCGAGGTGGTTCCGTGAAGCCACCATCTTTTTTTTTGGAGATAACACTTCAATGCACCCACTATTACCCTGTGTAAGGCACCTTGCAAGACCGTTTCTGAATGATAGCTGCGGGATGGAATTCCGGTTGCGTTGCCTAAATCATTGAACATGCTACAACTGGCATCGGCAGCCTTCGCAGCTGCCTGATTTTTTCACGCGCGTCGGGCGTCGTTGGGCGTTGGGTTTCTCATGTTAATCTCGGGCGACGGAGCGACACTGCCTTGCCTCGCGTGATGCGCTTGGGGCAAAGCAATTCAACTGCTCAAGCAACGACGGGTGGGTGGCCAGATCTCCCGTCCGACAATGAGTTTGTTGACAGACTTCTCATTTTTTTTTAGCTTTTGGAGCACCGCAGCAGTACCCGAAAACTGCAAGCAATTCACCAGTCTCAGAATTTCTACGGTAGTGCCTTTACAAATCTGCCCTTTACAGCATTTTGTCCGAAGCAACGTTCAGTGAGCGCTCTTTTGAATCTCCCATTGGGCAGTTTGGCAGCATGGCTTTCAGGCAGGAGCTTTGCCTGACACTCAGCGAGGCCCCGATGTTCCTTGGGCAAGAGCCCACTTGCGCAGAGAACTTACGGCGTTTTGGGGTTGTTTAACTGAAGGCACATGGAAGCCGCGTTTTTTGTTGGGTTCCATGTGTCAATGTCACAGTCTGTGTGCGCCCCTGCCAGGCTTTCAGAACTTACAACAGGTGCATCAGGCTGGGCGAAGCGGATTTCGGGGGGAGAAAGGGTGAGGTTGCACCGACTCGATGTGGCCATGAGTCTGAATGGGACACCCACTCAAAAATGATCTGATAGCCCATGATAGCCCTTCCACAGACGGGAGAGCCCTGACAGCCAGGAATGCGCCGAGGCTTAAGGATCTACCGCACCAAGGCTGCCATGAAGCACACGTCATGCCGTGACCCTTGCATGGGGTTGTTCTTCCTTTAACCCAAAGCGGAATGTCTGCTCTTGCAAGGTTTCTCATCACTAGCAAGACGAAAGATTCGCTACCTTGATTTGGCTCCACCAATTTGACTGTTTCTACGGCTCCCTTCAACTTAGCACGGGGTGACTTTGAGAGTGTGAAAACAATGCGGCCATTTGATCCATATCGTTTTCCTATGGTTGTCATTGTTTCCTATGTTTTCCATTGGAGTCCTCTGGTTTACGACCCAACTTCCTCCCGGTACCTAGGTGCTCCAGCGACCATTTCCCAGCCATTTCCGTCACATTGCGCCATGGCGGGCGCAGCAGATGGCTCCACCGTTTTTATGCACCTTGGTTCAACAAAATGCTAAGCCTGTGGATTTGGATGTGTCCTTCTTTAGGAGCCACTTTTGGCTGGTTTTAAAAGCAAACCAACCATTGTGGGGTGCTCATTTTGTGACAGAACCATGTGTTTGCCTGCTTGCCTGCCTGCCTGCCTGCCTGCCTGCCTGCCTGCCTGCCTGCCTGCCTGCCTGCCTGCCTGCCTGCTGCCAGTACCCGGCATGGTTTGGGCACGGAATGGAACTGTGGAGCATGGGTGTTGGTGGGTTGGGTTCGCACAGGGTAGTTTTTGTAGTTTTTGTGAGGGGTACCCTTTTGCAGCCTGGTTTTAAGGGAACCCAAAGGGAAACCGCCCATCTTGCAAGTATTATATAACTCCTATTCGGGAATGGCGGAAACCAGGGGACCAAAGTTTTTTTGGTCTTTGTGGTTTTCCTTTCACCGAGCCGAAAAGGGCAGCCTACCGCATCTCCAATTCGGCTTGCAACGCGACGCCGGAGGTTCGGGAAGCACAAGGGTCGCAGCTTCCAAGAAGTGGCCCAAAGCGAGCCCAGCCGCCCAGCCGCAAAGGGAAGCCATCGCGTCCATTTCGTTCGATGTGGTTCTAAGGTCCCCCAGTCCCCTTTTACCATTGGGGGAGTTCCCCTACTCAAATCGACTACAAAAAAAAGGGTACCCTTATTCTAGCCTCTCTACTGGAGGACCTACCTAGGCCAACAGTTGTTAGAACCACATCGGTATACTGCACAGTTTTAGGTTCGATGTGTAGATTCCATTTTAAGTAAGAACAGTAAAGCCTAACCTTTAGGACCGTGATGGCCACATTAGACCGAAAAGTCCGCAGGGTTCGGGCACTGATGTGATCCAACCGGAGGTCTGATTTAGCAAACCTTGGAATGCCCTTTTGTAAATATGAATCGGGGGCGTATCAGACCGACTTGGGATATGTTTGTTTGCATGTTGGAGGTTCAATTAAACACCAAAGAGCCAAGGAAATGACAAGTGGCTCACTCGAAGGGAGGTTGTTGGTTTGTGCTGGTTTCTTGTGATTTGCCTTTTTGTTTCCCGTTGTTGGGACAGCTGAGAACGTCGCCGAACAGCGTCCCAGCCTCCTTACCTGCCCATGGGCCCATGGGCTCGTGTTGGGATGCTACTGGTCGGATGTGCATTGCAGAATGCTGGTCAGAGTTCTTTGGATGCACGATTTCAGGGTCTATGCATACTATGAGCAACGGACAATATTGCGACGGTATCGTTTTTAAGCCCTATCATGTTTGCAGGTTGATGGATATCTGTTTTGGGTAGTCCCTTTGCTATCGGTTTTTGGTGCTAATATTGTCGGGTCTTCAATACTGGGCTGAGCTTGCAGTTGAAAGGGAACTACGCAGCTATGGAGCTCCATGGCAATGCACCTGCGCAAGTGCCTCGGCACGCGCTGCGCAGCGTTGCCTCTCCAACACTGTGTGTTCAGCACGAAGGGAACCACTGCCCTTGCGGATTGTTGATGTTTCAGCATGAAAGGCAGCTGATGCATGAACCTTCGTGCAATAATTGAAGTGCCTGAACCCTCAAGCTATCCTTGAAACATGCGCACGCCAGTTTCACCCAACTGTAGCTGCCCCCAGTTTCATTTGGTACGCCGCTTGGCTGAATAAATTGAGAGCCCATGTCCAAATGAGCTTGCGGGGCTTTGTCCCTGACTGAAGTCAGAAGGGCGCGCCCCCTTTTGGTGTCTCAAGGGAAACCAACGGGCAGCACACCATGCACCATGTCTAGCTCCAATTTTGTCAACCGCCTGTGTCAGACCTGGGTCACTAGTGGGACACAGCTCGTTGCTTCCAATTCAAAACAACGACCAAAACATGATGGTAGAAGATTTCTAGTGGTCCCCGTCGTGTTCCTTTTCCATTGCCAAGTTTCGCACTTGCGCTGCTCGGTTTGCAAAGGGTTCGCGAGGCTACTGCGCGTGGGCCTTGAAGATGGAGAGCCCCTCGGGGGCGCTCCAGGAGCGGGCGATTCGGCGCAAATCTGCGCCGTGGTTTGGCCAACCGCCAGCGGTTTCAACTACCTGGTTTGAGGCTTTACTAGGTCCCCCAGTGCCCTTTCACCCTTTCTGGGGGGGAGGTTCCCCTACCAACATAGACCACAGAAAAAAAGGGTACCCTTATACTAACCTTTGTACTGGAGGACCTAGTTTAGCTTGGGCTGGTTCAAGGGGAAGTCACAAGGAGACCCATGCGTTTAAACCGCCAATTGTTTCAGCGACCGTTTGGTTCCTTTAGGCGGACCGACCGTGGCTGTTCGAAACGGAGCCGCCAGCCCTCTCCAGGACTTTGTGACCTTCCTCGGGGGCGCGAGGCGGGGAGTCGTTCCGAAGGCGCATGGGCTCGATAGAGGCCCCAGACGCCCTGGGGTTCCCCTGAAATTGCCCTGGGTTTTTGGTGGGTGTCCCTTGGGTTTCCCCTGGGTTTCCCCTGGTTCTGGTTGGGTTTGCCGAGGGGTTTCCCTGGTCTCTTCTCAGATCCCCCATGGAATGATCCGGTGCCAGCCTCCAGCCGCGTGAGTCGATGTGCAAGGCACATTGGGCGAAACCAAGCGGCCGGTGAAGTGGTGGCACATTGCAAGTGAAGTCAACATACCTTTTCAAGGTGGCACCTTACCAAAAGCTAAAGTTTAAATTATTTGAGGTATGTTAGCAAGCCCTACAGGCTTGTTGGGGATGTGTTCAACCCAAACCTTCCTCGGCGACTGCTACCGTCCCTGGAGTTGTTTCGGGTTGTTTGTGTCAGGAGTTCTTTGAACATAAGGAGTTTGGACACAGGTGAGTCAACAAAGGCGAAACACATTGACCATGGCCATGTTTGTAGAGTTGTTTTGCGGAATCTTTCTGGTTGTTTGTGGAGGAACGCTGGGGTCGCGGAATTTTGAAACACCCCCATGTCCTGCTTAGGAAGGAGCCACGTGAAGTCAAAGATGGCCTGCAGCTGCCAGCGGACGCCTTCTTCCTGTGCGAGATGGTGGCGGATGACCAGCTGCTGGGTGGCCGTTTGGTGTGCTGTTTTTCTTGGGTGCTTTTGTGCAGACTAACTTGGAACCCAAAAAAGCGCTGCTTTAGAGGAAGCTCCTGCTGGGGGGCCCCAGTTTGAGGTTCCGTAAACATTTGCAAGGAAGTACTGTTTCTGGGTTGGTTGTAAAGGGAATCCAAGAGAAGCCTACCATTTGGGGCTGCGAGGGTGCTCTTTCTGGCTGAAAAGAGATGGATTTCACCCAGTTTGGTTTGGTCCTAGTTAACATTGTTTGACCAATGTAAGCCATCAATTTTTCAAAAGGACATCTAGGAGCTTACGTATTCTGAGCTGTGGGAGAGCTCCTTGCCCACCCTACCCTCGCTGATCTCGCAGTGCTGGTTGTGCCTTTCTCTATAGCCAAGGTTCGTGGTGCGCTGTGAGAAGCAAGGTGGCAAGGAGGGCACAGCCTTTCTCCCGCCGCACCTTTGGCATGCCATAGGACAGGGAAGCTACATGAGTTCAGGCTTTGTGAGGTTGGGCTGCCTCCATGCGGTCCTGGAATCTTCTCACAGCCCAAACAGTCAGTGCGCTTTCTTTTGTGGAAAAGATGAGATGGGGAGCAAGGAGGCCGTTTCAGGGGAGATGCTAGTATGCGAAAGTCAATATATCGGAGATCGCATGTTAGTCGGGGACCATTGACAACCATACAGGGGGGGGGCGACTGCTCTTTTCCTTTCCTATTCCTTTGATTCCAGATTTGGCCATGACTTCGGTGACCAGATCACCGGGTATTGTCGTCTCTCAATTATGATAGCGTGGGAATTACGTCCAATACAGACATCACTGTTGTTTGTGGATCATACTTGGATCTTCGCCCGGGACATCCAAGTGAAAATAAGTATGGGAATAATCCACTCAGTCGCGGAGTCGCGGCTTAAGCAAACCACCAGTTTGGAGGGATCCACGTCGCGCAGCGCGTCGGTTAGGAGCTTTGCCGGGGGCCGTGCAGATGAACCGCAGTTGGGCCTTCCCTGCCTCGAGCTACGAGCCGGTGATGGCGCGCCTGGAGGAGAGGGGAAGCCTTGGTGTAAGCCATGGGTTAAACAGGTGTGTTTTTATTTATGATGATTTGATTGTTATGTTGGTTTAAACCATTCATTTATTTTGCATTTGTTTGGGGGGGGGGGGGGGCGGATTTGGGGTTCTTGGGGGGCAATAACCGGCAAGTTGCTTGAGCAGCTTGGTCTTTGCCAGCTTGGCGCATGGCGCAACGGAGGAGATGGGCAAGGCGGAAGGCGTGCCGTGGTGGGTGAGGAAGCTACTGAAGGCCAGGTCGCTCCGTCGGGGGAAGTGCTTGTTCCGCTGAAGCCCTTTTGGATGGTATGGGCTCTTTGGAACGGGCTGTTGGGTAGGACTAAAGGAACGGCCAGGACCCGAAACACGGGAAGTCTATGTATGGTCCTATTTTGAGGGCTTTTTTTATTGTTTGAGGGTGAAAACCAAAGTAAAAACCACCCATTCAGGGGGATTCCCTGTTTGGAGACAAACCCAAATCACATCAACATGGTTCATGCAGGCGACTGTCTTAAGAATAGAGAACCCCCTTTTGGGACGGGTTTGTAGAGAAACCGTCTTTTTTGGAAGGGTTTGTAGGGAAACCGTCACTTCGGCAACCAAAATCAATCGGTTTGTTTGGGTTTTGATGGCGACACCAGTGCTTGTGGCTTTTGTGTCATTTTCTTGATTGGTTGAAACTCGTGGGGTTGTTCAGACCGGGCGTTTCCAACAGAGCTGCCTTTGTCACCGGGCTCCTGGAGGCGTTTTGGAGGAGACTTAAACCAGAAAATATGCATGGAAGGAGCGTACCCCCACGGCTTGGTCACCATAGGCTCTCCATCTTCAAGCCTGCATCATCGCCGAAGCCCTTTTTTTTTCCAGTTGGGGGGGCCTTTTGGTTTGTCACATGTTGGGACCCATTCGTTTGGTTTCCCTTTCAAACCGACCCAAGTGGGTGCAAATAGCGATGCGCTCATCCGAACCGCCGCTAGGCTCCTCGGGAGGCGCAGGGCCTGCAGGAAGCGCGGCTGCCCGACGGCCTGATGCCCTACCAGCTGGAAGGCACCGCCCGGAGATCCGAACGACCGCGGAATCTGCAAACAGCTTGCTTGTTGTCTCGAATGTTCAGTTGGGTCTTTGGAATGAACTAGAAGGGGATACCCTTTGAAACCAGGGATGGTTTATGGGGTTCAACTCATTCCCCTTTCAGAACCGGTAAGAAAGGCCAAAAGGTCAAAGGGTGAACTGCAAAGCAACCACCCAACAAAACACGCTAGACGGAATACTTGCCCACATCCCTTCAAATGAGTCAAATGTCGAAAGTTATTGTAATATTATGTATAATATATATATATAGATATATTTCACATGTAGATCTGACCTTGCAAATTCTTCCAGTTCTCACTGTAGCAGGTAACCTGGTTTGCAACCCCGAAGTATTTCATAATGCTCTCGTTGGAGATCTACAATGGTGACAGGCAGCACTGGAAGTAGTGGAATATACCTAGCCACATTTACCCTGGGTTTGGTTTACGTTCCCCATGAAGAGAAAAGGTCAAAGGCTTTGGTCGTCAGGCGTGGAGTTCGGACTGTCTCGGAACGGCCGGGTGCTGCTGGCGGACGACATGGGCCTGGGGAAGACACTGCAGGCGAGCCGATTGGTCCCTCGAAAGGGGATGCAGGTTGTTGAACTGTTCAAGAGTCACATCCGGTCCGGTCTCAATATTTGCAACCAGACCTTGGGCCCCGTTTTGGGAGGCAAGTTGGACGGGGTTGGAGTCGAGCCAAAAGGATTGAAACAATTGGTGGCTTACGCGGTTTGTGGTTTCCCTTTATCTCAACCTAAAGAAGCCTCAACACACGTTGGCACAATTGATCTGGGTGAACTATAACGACCTCACACGACCTCACCCCAATTGGTGGTTTATGTGGAATAGCCTCCCAACCACCTTGCCTTGTTTCAGGTTGGTGAAATATTATTGTGAACTAGAGGGGTTCATGTATAGGCAATCAAACCATGCACAATGGAGCCGTTTTTGTGTCGAGGAAAAGACCGCTTCTGAATAGCGGCACCACAGGTTATGAGCCCAAACCCCTAAAACAGGGGCCCTCGCTCGGCAATGGAACCGACAAGGGCATCAGGAAGTGGAGAACCTCGAGAAAGGCTCGATTCTGCCGATGGAGAAGAACCGGAGGTGGAGAGCCTGGAGATCATAGGGCAGGAAATGGTGCCCTATGCTGGAGGCAGAAGGCCTCCGAGGAGGATGGTGGAGGTGGTGAAGCCGCTTGAGCTCACGGCAACACCACTCAAGCCAGGCCAGGGCGAGGAGGAACTCGAGGAGCCTCCACGCAGGTGGCCAAATGGACCGGAAGGAGAGCCAGAAGCCATGAAGCCTCTGTTCACCCCGGAGCAGCTCAGAGAGTTCAACAAGTGGGACGAGAAAGCACCGTTGCTGAGGGGACCGCGGATGGACCAACCGAGGCCGGCGCACTTGCCCGTGGAGAGTAACCTGGAGGGAGACACTCCGGGTGGTGGCCAACTTCGACCGAGGTACCTACCCATGGAGAATCCGGAGCCGGAGGGCCAGATGATGAAGATGATGGCGGCGTCTCAGGATACGAGGACGACACCATCGGCACCGGGAGTGGACCCGGTCTACCTCATGCAGATGATGCAGGAGCTGATGACGCGGAATCAGAGGCTTCAGCATGAGGTGGAAGTGTTGAAGAAACAAGGAAAGGAGACAGACGCTGACTATGGCACGCCGGAGAGCCGGGAAAAGGTGAACGGCATGAGCACGGTCAGGGACAATCAGAACCACGAGCCCTACGGCCCGACCCGCGACCACTCGAATGGCAAAGGCGGAGAAGGCAGACTTGGGGCTGGTGGTGAAAAAGGAAATGCTCGGGATGAGCAGGATGGCGGTGCCTCGGAAAGGGCAAGTGATGTGGCTGGATCCGGAAAGGACGGCCACCAAATGGACGTAATGCTGAAGCTCATGGAGGGCATGCATGCAGATGATGCAGAAGCAGCTCCTGGAGCAGAAGGAGAAGACGGAGACCATCGAGACGGTCAAGGCGGGCTTCGCGTAGTTGCCTCGCCTGGGCGAGTTTAGCCCGGAGAATGGTCCGATAGAACTAGGGGACTGGTTCACCATCATCCATCCCCTGATGCTCGATGGAATGGTGGGACCTACTCTTAAAGGAGGCCCGCGAGTGGTACGAGGAGTACATGAAGGAGATCCCGCTGAACAGGGTCAACATGGTGCCCAAGACGCCTGAGGTGTTGGGGGTACGGAAATGGAGTCGGTTGGAACGGCGGGCAGCTTCGCTCATCATCCAGGCGGTTCCGGAGACGGTGAGAGACGAGATGATCGCCACGAATACGGTGTCGGCATACGGGGCGATCTGTAGGCTTCTGGTAGTGTATCAACCAGGAGGCCTTGGAGAAAAAGGAGTGGTCCTACGGGCGTTGGAGGAGCCGGTGGAAGCTGCTACGATCCCGGAGGCACTCAAGAGTTTGAGAAAGTGGCTGAGGTGGAGGCGGCGGGCGGGCGAGATGAACTTGGCGTTGCCAGACCCTACGGTGATGATGAGGGGCCTCAGCAAGATGATTCGGAAAGTGGTGGAGACGAACCGGGAGCTGACGTTCCGGATTTCCCTTGCCCGGAACACGCTGCGGGTGGACAGCGTGCCGACGCATGGAACGGTGCAGCAGTTCGCGGAGCATGTCTTGGCCGAATTGGAACAGGGCAACCAGGGGTGTGAGAGAAAGGTGACAAAAACCCGTGGACGCCAAGATCCGGAAGGTCGAGACAGAGAAGGAGCAGGCGACGGGACGTAGAGACCTAGTTTGCAGGTTCTACATGAAGGACACCGGCTGCAGAAAGGGCCGGAGTTGTGAGTGGCAGCACCCCACGGATGAGACCGCAAGAGGACGCTGCTGGGAGTGTGGATCAGTGCAGAAGCCGACATCACCAGAGAAGCCGGCGGCTGTGAGAAGGGTGGCCTAGGAAAACGACGTGGCAACAACACCGGCTTCGGCATCTTCACCCAAGAAGGAGGAGATCAAGCCGACCCGGGAGAAGGAAACGGTGGTGGAAGATTCGAAGAAAGACGAATCTATGGGGGGGGGTGTTGCAGGAAGCAGCAAAGATGCTACGGAGCCTCAACGCCTCGCAGGGAGTCAAAAAAGGTGGACGAGAGAAACGACCGCTTGGACGACCTGCAGAAACAGTTGAATGGGTTGAGATCTGGGTCTCTCAAAAGGGCCCAGGTAAAGGCTCAAGGGAGGTGGAGTGATGGTGGGCTACTGGACTCGGGAGCTACGCATCCCCTACGTGCCCGGCAAGAAGGTGAAGACATCGAGAATCTGGACGAGATCGATGTTGCCCTGGCCGGGGGAGAGATGAAAGGCATGCGGATCACGGAGGGAGGCATCATCGTCCAGGAGAACGAGGGCGTGGGCTCCATCATTCCGTTGGGTCTGCTGGTGGAGAGGTTGCACTGCGTGGTGACGTGGGATGGGGATGAGTGCCGCGTGGTACATCCAGAGCTGGGAGCGTTGCGGATTCACATGGAGGATGGATGCCCCTATGTGACCCAGCGGACGGCGACGAAGTTGCTCGAGGAGCTGGAGAAAAAGGGGAAGGAGAAAAGGAAGGGCCGGATTAGCGAAGTGAAGCTAAAGAAGGCCCTGGACTGGGAAACGGTCAGAAAGGTGGTGGAACTACATCCTGCGTTTCGTGACCTACCGGAGGAGGTGCGAAGGAAGATTCTGGTGGAGCCGGCGGAAACATTGCGGGCAATCCCATGGAATCGGAGACGGAGAAGGTCCTTGGAGCAGAAAGGCCGGAAAGCCATCCTGCACCTATACGCGGGACCCCGTGAAGGATACACCCTGGAAAGGGCGGTGAAGGAGCTTGGAGGCGACCACATGGACGTCTTGGAGATTGATCTGCAGCGTGGGCCGGAGCACGACATGATGTCGGACGAGCTCTATGCAGCCCTGCTGCGGGGCGCGTTGGATTCGCGTTTCGATGCGGTGGTGGGTGGACCGAATTGCCGGACCAGGAGTGTGCTCCGACATTATCCACTACCTGGCGGTGGTCCACGACCGGTGAGGTCACCGGAAGAGCCGTTTGGGAGGAGCGACCTCACGCCGCATGAGAAAAAGGCGGTCTGGGAGGACGACGTGATGATGTGGCGGATGTTAGCCATCTACCTGGTGGCGGAAGAAGCGCGGAATGCGAAGGGAGGCCCACAGGTTGGCTTCGTGTTGGAGCAGCCGGCGGATCCCAGGAAGTACATGCCTGGATGCCCGACCTTCTGGGGGACGACCCAGTGGGAAGCATTTGAGGAGATGGAAGGCATGGCCGAGTACGAGTTCTACCAGGGGGACTTCGGAGGAGCGGCACAAAAGCCGACGACATTGGGGACCAACCTCTACATCGACCTGCCTGAGAGAAGGGTGACCGGGCTGGTGTCAAGAGCCCGGATGGAGGAGGTGGACCTCAGAGACTCGAAGAACCTCGCAAGGTGGGCTCCGGGACTCATGAGAGAAGTGGCGAGAGCGATTCTGACGCAGGTCAGGAAGCAGGTGGTGAAGCTGCGGAAGCTGAGTTGGCAGGAGCACATCGCGGCGGGACATTGCCCGATGAGGAGGGACTGCCGAGTTTGTCAGGAGGCGAGTGGTCAAGACCGACCCCATAGGAGGATCAAGCACAAGCACGCCTACTGCCTTTCGTTGGATTTGGCCGGACCGCTGAAGAAGGGAAGAGACATCGACGGGCGGAGCTGCAAGTACATGCTTGTGGGCGCGTACACATGGCCGAAGAATCCGCTGAAGTCTGAGGAGATCCCGGAGAAGGAACGAGATGGAGGTGGAGAAGCTGGCAAGGCGAAGGGTCTGGAGGAGGTCAAGAAACCGGACCAACCCGGGCAACGACCGGAGGACTACTGGACCACCAGCGCCAACGGCAAGTACGTGATCAGGGTACACAAGAGCCACCGGAAGGTGAGGTTCTTCCCTGATGATGCCCCAGGATGTCCGGTGCCTGCGGAGCGACTACGGGGACGGAGGAGGACCATAGCACGAACAACTAAGGATGGTCCGTTGAAGATGTTCATGGACGATTGGAGGAATGCCGAAAAGACGGAAAAGGTCTTTGAGGACGAGAGCCGATGGGCCGGGCGGACGATCTTCCAGCTAGAGGGCCCGGAGGAGGAAGAGCCTCAAGAAGAAGAGAAGGAAGAAGGAGACCCTGATGATCCGGCTGATCCAGAACCCTCAGAAGGGATCTGGGACTTCGAGCTGGAGGAGTTGGTCGGAGAACAGGAAGATGGAGAGATGGAAGAAGGCGACCTGGACGAGTACGAAGAGGATGAGGAGAAGAGAGAGGAGCCGCTGGAGATTGAAGCCCACACGCTGGCAGTGCCTCTCTCGACGAAAGGAGGCAAAGAAGTTTTGGACGCCATACAGACGATGTATCTGGAATTGAAGCGCCAAGGTTTTCCAGTGGCGCGATTGCATAGCGACAGGGGCAAGGAGTTCATGAACCATGCCTTGCGCCGGTGGTGCTTCAACCGGGACATCGCGAAGACGAGTACGGCGGCAGACGATTGGAGATCAAATGGGCGAGCAGAAGTGGCCATCAAGCACTTAAAGTCAAGAATGAGGAGAGTGCTCTTTGCAGCCGAGGTGGATGGACAGTGGTGGCCAGCTGCAGCTCGATATGTGGTGGAGAAGGAGAAGAGAACAAGGCAGAGAAAAGAGGGCACGATACCCAGATTCTGCCAGGAGGTAATGGTGAAGAAAAGGAAGTGGAAGTCGGAGGAGCTGGGCCCAAGGCACGTCAAGGGGAAGTATTTGGCCCCGGTGGTGGACGTACCGAACGGTCACGCCGTGATGAGAGAGGATGGAACAGTCCAGGTGGCTGCCTATGTGCTGCACCACTGGAAACCTCTCCGGAGCCAGTGGACGGGTGGCAATTTGTGGAACGGAGAGGTGATGAGGGAGAAGAGCGCGAGCCGGAGGAACCCTATCGTGTCCGGAGGAGGATAAGAGATAAGACCCAAAAGAAGGTGTTGGAAGACGAAGGGGTTCTGGTGAGGTTGCGGGCGCTCAGATCCACAATAGAGGAGGAGGAGAAGGCGGTGACGAACGACGAGCCGGAGGTGATGGACATTGTGGTGAAAGCCCTAGAAGGTTTGAAGAAGGAAGAAGAGGAGTTGAGGAGCAGCACAGAGGTGGAAAAAGACGAGGAGCAGATACTCCAGACCAAGATCGTCAGTGCCAAGGAGGTGGAGATGAACTTGGAGGATTGGAAGGCACCCATGAAGAAGGAGCTGGACACCATCGTGGAAGAAAAGGGTGCAATCACCAGGCTCAACCCGGCATCGGCGAGGGAGCTGCTGGAGAACAACCCACGGGTGCAAGTACTACCCGGGAAGGGGGTGTTCACAATCAAACCAGGAAGGAAGCGTAAGTGCCGACTGGTGGTGTGCGGCAACTACGGGGAGTCTCACGAGGCCATGCCGCTCTTCGCAGGGGGCACGGACGTGGTGGCTTTGCGGTTGGCGTTGAAGGAGGCGGCGGTTCGCAGGTGGCAAGGAGGCACCGTGGACGTGAAAGGAGCCTTCCTGAATGCCCCGCTGCAGGCAGTTGACCAGGAAGGAGAGCTGACGGTGGCCATGCGACCGCCGGCAGTACTGGTCCGGATGGGGTTGATACCAAAAGGGGAGCTGTGGATCGTCAACAAGGCAATGTACGGCCTACGGCAGAGTCCGAGGTGTTGGTCGGACTACCGTGACGACGAGATGAGGAGGTGGAGAATCAGCTATGGTAAGCGTTGGCTGAAGTTGGAGCAGATGAGGAGTGAATGGAATGTGTGGCTGGTGAAAAAGGTAGAGGACGACTTGAATCCGGAGGAGCTGGTCGGCCTGCTACCAGTCTACGTGGACGACTTCATGCCGTTGCGCGTGGAAGGAGTGCCTCAAGCCCTCATGGAGAAGATCAAGGGCACGTGGGAATCATCAGAAGAGAGCTGGTTCGGCAAGGAGCCGGTAAGGTTCTCCGGGGTGAACATCTCTGTGACGGAGCAGGGGATCACCTTGGACCAGATGGACTACATCAAGGAGATCATCGATCGGAACAATGTCACTGGCAAGTCGGTGATCCCCATGAGCAAGGAGTGCAGCGAGCCAGAGGCAGAGATTGGGATCACGGCGGAGGAGATTCAGACGGGTCAGCGCCTGGTGGGTGAGTTGATTTGGCTGGTCGCCCGGAGTAGACCTGACCTGGCCTACGTGGTTTCGAGAATGTCGAGTTTCGTGTCCAAGGCTCCACAATGGGTGCAGAGAACCGCGACCCAAACACTGCGGTACCTCAATGCGACCAAGACGGAGGGCATCCTGCTGGATAGGGACATGGGGGAGGACACAGATGGAAGAAAGAGTAGAGGAGCGGGCTTGGAGGTCATCACAGATGCGAGCTTCGCGCCAGGCGGCGAGATTAGCCATGGCTGTGTAATGGTCAAATGGCAGGGATCAATGCTGGCGTGGAGATCTTCGAGGCAGAGCTTCCCTACACTGTCGACGGCCGAGTCCGAGCTGATGGAGATGGACTCGGTAGACGCGTTGATTCAGGAGATCAAGACGGAGATGGACTATTCGCGGACGTTGATCGGGGACAACCAAGCGGCGGTCTCGCTGTGCACAGGAGATGCTGGATCGTGGCGGACGCGTCATCTTCGTCTGAGAGCGTTCTATGTGAGATGGAGAGCGCAGATGGGGGACTGGCGGATAGTGCATCGGATGGGCGCCAATCTGGTCGCCGACATGGGCACGAAGTGTCTGCCGGGAACTCGCCTACGTGATCTGCGCAAGATGGCAGGTTTGGTGGAGATTGGAGCACCACAGCCAGAAGAAGGAGGAGCCCTGGAGGTGGACCTGGAAAAAGGAAAGGCAGCGTTGGCCATTTTGGCATGCTGCATGCAAGTCCAGGCAGTGGCGGCGAAAGAGGAGAAAGTCGAGGAAGAAGATCAGGGAGACTACAACGCCTTGGTCGGCTTCGGCATCCTGGTGGCCCTCTTCACGGCTCTGGCAATCAAGGTGACGGCGATGGTGAAAGAGACATGCGAGAAGAGAAGCAGAGGGGAACATGCGTCTGTAAGGGCGATGCGTGGACACAACAAGATGCCGGCGGGTGACGAGGAAGAGGAGTCGGAAGAAGAGGCTTCATCGTCGTCGAGAGCATCGGCGTCAACAATAAGGAGAAGATCCACTACTACCGGAGGTGGCGGAGGGTCGGAAGCATTGGGTGCTAGATCAAAAGCAGCACCAGAGGCCATGAGGAGGCCGTTGGAGAAAGGAAAGGGTGGAATCGGTTCTGGAAAAGGAAAAGGGAAGCCGATCATCAATGCACCATGGAGGAGGGATTATGCGAGGAGGCACCCCACTCCGCCTTGGAGGAATGAGGACCAACCGCCAGCAGATGATCAAGGGCGGCAACTGGGCCAGATCGAGGAAGAAGTGCGCAACGAAAGGTGGGACATTCCGGACGAAGAGCTGTTCTTCAACAAGAAGGACAGGATCGCACACCACACCAGAGAGTGCGCCGGAAGTCGAGCAGAGGCAAGGTATGTCTGCACATGGTGCTTCGCACAGGAGCTCCGGATGCAAGACGTAGAAGAGGAGCATTCGGTCCCCGTCATCGTGAGGGACTGGAAGCCGGTGCTCACCACAGGCTACGGGGTCAGGTACCATTACTCCCTGAACTGCCCCACTTTGGCGGCAACACGGAGGTGGGATGCCTTCGACCGGTGCCGACGATGCGCCGGAGTCAGAGGGAGGGGGTACGCCAGGATCCCGGGGTGATGACCTACATCGAGGACGGCTTGAGCTGAGGGGCGGAACCGGTAGCGCAGGTGCAAGCCTAACGGATTGTACCTGGGAGGAGTGTGAACTAGAGGGGTTCATGTATAGGCAATCAAACCATGCACAATGGAGCCGTTTTTGTGTCGAGGAAAAGACCGCTTCTGAATAGCGGCACCACAATTATGATTCACCCAGATTGACGGTTCTTACCACGTTTTTTTCACACGTCGAATCGCCCTACCCAGGCGCTGGCGCTTGCGCGGCAGTTCCCCGAGCGACTTGAGCAAGCGAGGGAGCGCTGTTCCGGTCATCCCGCGGATCTGGGGAGGACATGGGGCATGGAGCCCTAATGTGCGCGACCATTCCCAAGGGTCTCTCTTTTCAGAAGACCACCAACAATAAGTCAGCAACCAAGGGAATTAGCTGGTGTTTTGAAAACTACGATGTTTGAAACATAAAGAGACATGAACCCTAGCGCACATGCCGGGGTAACTCAGGTATCACTCAGATCTGCCGTTTTTCTGTCGGAGCTTCTGTCAGGCAGAGCTGAATTCCGGTATGTCTCGGAATCGGAAACGTCCAGGTGCCCAGTGGCAGCCCCCTTTCCTTTTGTTGGGAACTTCCCTTGAAAGTCAACAAACAAAAAGCGTGCTTGCTCCACCGCGGCCACGGGGCTCAGGAAAGAAACCAACAGGAAAGCAAAGAATTGGGCGGCCAGTTTTCGTTGGCTCCCAACAGGCCCTGACAGAAAGTTCGTGAAGGGTACGCGGGAACTCAATGGTGAGTGACTAAAGCCAAGTTTCATTTGCGTTGGGCAGAAGGGTCTCAAGCCAGACACCTGATGATCATCCTGATATATATATATATATATCCTGCTGTCACATTGTGCATTCGACGTATCAGCAGGTTGGATGTGTTGAACGCCACATTCTGTGATTGATGTAACTCCTTGGCATTGTACGATACCCTTCAAGCATACAACAACCACCTTGTACCTCCTCAATCACAGTACATGTGAGTGTACATGTGTGCCTTTGTGTTTGAGATCAATCGGGGCTTTTGTGCTGGTGGTGATGGGGACGGCATTGCAGGCTACCCTCTCTCCAACAAGAATAGAAAGTGAACCCTCTTGAGAAGGCCGCTTGTCCACGTCCGCAGTCAGGGTTGGGCAAACGGGGTTCAAACAAACGGGCAATGGCACCCTACAAAGGGGCTACCTCAAGGAGGGCCACAAGACAATAGCCGTTGCAACATGAAACAAAAGGTTAGCCCTCTTTGCAGTTTGCTTGAGGTGGCCTGTGCTGGTGGTGTGCCCTTCCTCTTTGCGCTGGGTCTGGAAGGAGCAGGCAATCTCCTGGTTCTCCGAGACATTGCGGCCCGAAGAGGTGCAGGTGATTCAGAAAGGCCGGCAAAGTGACATGTCACATGTGACATGCTGTGAATGGTCAAAGTCCACTTCACACAAGTTGGGACGGAAGAAACCCCATAAATGCTGCACGGGATAAACCCCCTATCAACTGGTGTGAAGTGGGGTTTGTCCATCCGCAGGGGTCCTATCAAAATACCTTCTTTCTTGGACCACGGGTCGACAGCATACCCTCAAACAGTTTTTCAGTGCGGTAAACAACATATATGGAACCCGAGTGATGGAGCTCAGTTAGATGGCACGAGCTTCAATTTGCTGGAGCTTCTGGCAAAAGCACATCTGCTTTTGAAATCGAAGTGATTGAACCTTGGGAGTGAGGGCTCACTTTCCGGGACGGCGCCAGGCTCGGATCAGCTATGCCCAAAGGCGCAGATGTGGATCATCTCGTATAACCTTTTGGCCAGCGATGCCAAGAAGGCAGGCAGTTCTGCCCAGAGCCCCAAATCGTGGTCCTTTTGGTTTCCCTTTAACACGACCCGCGAAAAAGGTTCCCTCAAAAAAGACACACCCATGTATCCCGGCGAAACCGGGCGTCGTGTCAGGTAGGTGCTTCGAAACATGCTGAAAGGGAAGCTGATTTACACCTCCGGATGTGTTCTTGTAGCCTATGTTCATTCAGGGATCAGTGAATCAGGACCCTTACATTGACCGAGCCATGGCCGTGATGAGAGCTTGCTTGCTTGCTTTGGTGAGTGTGGTGAAGTGTGCAGACCTTGCCTGCACAGATGCTGAGCCACAGTCACCTAGGGATGTGACTCCCGGCTATGTCGGACACTTGACAACCAGGTATGAGCCGTACGGGGAGGAGGAGAGGCGCAACTTTCTTCAAGCAAATCTCCATTTCCACTTGGGTGCCGAGCACAGGAGCGCCGGAGAGTACGATCAAGACCCCCCAACATCAGGACTTGAGAGCACGGTAGCTCCTGGCCTCTTCTGCAAAACCGACGGCCTGACCGCTCCGGAGCTGGCAGACTACACCTTCGAGCACATTCGAGCACTGCAAGAATGTGTCAGTGGGCAACAGCTATGAGTTCCATTGGGTCTTCTCCACCGGTGCCCCAGGACAATTGGCGGACGACGGCAATGAGGGCGAGCTGGGCGTCGCTGATGGCTTGGGCGGTGCCTTTGCTCGTACCGTCAATGCGGACGTCATCGTGCGTGGCCAGGTTTGCCTCATCTACAACAACGCCTCGCTCGACACGGATGCCAAGACCGAGGCAGACTATGCGGACTTTCTCACAAAGTGGCGCTCGCCGAAGCCCGGCCAGGCAGTGAAGTATGTGGGCTCCACCACCGGCTCAAGCTACAACAATGTGGTTTGCTCCCCGGCCGAGGTGAACTGGCACGTGGACTTGAAGTGCTGCAAGTTATCGGCTCAGGCCTTTGACAGAAGCTTGAATATGATTTGCTTGGACTAAGCTTAAACTTTGTGAACACATGCGCTATTCCTCAATAACCGGCAACAACTTAAACCCTTTCTGGGCAGTCAATCGCCACCAAGGAACCTGCAAAGCGATGTACGACGAAGGGCTGCGCGAGGACCTGAAACCAAAGGGCTCCCGCCCACCGGTGGACAAGCGCTTTGTCGCGGACGTGACCTTCCCCTTGTCGCATGTGTGTGAGACGCCGGTGCGAGAAGGAAATAAGGATTGATTGTTTAGACTTGTCGGGGAAAGCTGGCCAAAATCGCCGAGCACGGCAAGGGCCTTATCAAGGGTCCTTATCAAATATCCTCAAGTGTATTGTTGGCTGACACTGTCAGGGTGCTGCCGCAAAAGCCCAGTTTGAGGTTTGACTCTCAAATTGAGGTTCACGGTCACCCTGTCAGCTCTCAGTTTTTGGATAAGCTGAGGTTAACTACATTCTGAGTTGCTCTTCAATAGTGCGCGCAAGCTTGCGTGCCTGAGAACTGTTTTTGCAAGCAGGATGGTTTGCCACGTGCGCATGAAAAAGGCGATGGTGCGCAGACTTTGCCATTCTCGTTTCGTTCACTATGGGAACCACAGAATATCTGGCTGTTTTTCAGAATGGGTACTCCCATTTGGTGGATTTTCAGGGACGCCAAACGGACAATTCCACCATTCTGCTGCATATTTTGTGGGCCAAAGCGCACGGATTGGCGGCCTCGCTTTGAGTTTGCCGGAGAGCGTATCGTTTTGGGAGCAAGCCTTGCGGAAAGATCGGAAGGGTTGGACCAGGACCCCGTTTGTAGACGAACAATGCTCCACAAGTCCATAGAGTTTGCCCCCAACGGGGTGGTTTTATATTAAAGGGCCAACAGGAAAGCCATGGTCTCAGTCCCCCTGCTTCGACACCTTTTTGCAGCGTCTTGCTCGTGACACTTGTTTGAAAGAGAGACTAAGGGAAGCCCTTCAAAAGCGTGTTTGCTCAAAGTGGGGGCTTCAAAAGAACACCGCTTGCCTGAAACCTCAGCCGACCAAAACCTGTCGGAATTTAGGCAGGGACTGGCTGGGGGTATTCAATCATATTCCCGGAGAGCCAGCAAGTTAGCAAGCAAGTAGAACTTGTCGGGGTGGCCTCCCGCCTTTTGTTTGGTAAACAGAACCCAAGAAGAAAGATATGCCAACCCTTTTGGCATCGCCGCATGCTGGATGCCTTGGAGTGAGCAGTTTTCTTGGGTGCTCAAA